CTACCACCACCGGTCACACCCTTAGCAAAACCCTGGGCGGCACCAACAACACCAGCGTTGACGCTATTCGCGAAGACAGCCGCGGCGGCGGCGAAAAGAGTTGTGTACTTCATGATAAGCAGATGAAAAGAGTGTAAAAGAAAAGGAATGAATGAATGAGGATAAAGAACAAAAAAGAGAGTGGTTTGATGGTTGGGATGAGCAAGACATGTTCCTATCTTATATAGAAAACCCTGGGTATTCTGGTGGAGTTGGGAGAAAACCCCTGTCTGCAGCTGAGACAGGCTTACCCAATTCACCAAGGAACTGGAGTCAGGCGCCGAACGTTGGACCCGTTCGCCCATTGCAGCAGAGTAGAACCGGAGGTCCATCTGCAATGGGACATGCTCCACCCTGAGCAGATTCGGGGCTCTTGGCAGCACCCACACAGGCCAATTGTTTGGTCAGGAACAGGATACTATGCCCGTCCCACCGGAGTTCAATCCCTTCTAGAAAACATCCCTTGGCAGGACCGGTTCTACTATAGCATCGATAGCATGAACGAAGATGGAGCCATTGAATGAGGCTTTTTCTTTGCTCCACTCGCAATTTCACGGCACCCCATGATAAGAGGTCAAGTTTGGGTACTGAAGAGTGCCCACCAAAAGCTTGCAGCTGTAGATCGGAGGAACATGGAAAGCTTAGTTCTTGGTGGATGAGCTGGACTGATGCGACTGAGCATGGATGAAGCAGTCAAAACTCAGGACTGTACCTGCCCACGAGGAAGCTCGGAGAGGGGGTCGTTGCTGCCTGCAGACCCTGACCGAAACGCTCGGACCCAATCGCTTTCCGTCGCTGCCGAACACCGCAACGGTCACGTGCAACGTCTAGACCTAATCACATCTCACGTGAATTTAAATGCAGCAGTCCTGCCAAGCCTCTTTTGTCTCACCTCAATATCTGCTAAGAGTCTTGGTAGGATCACTACTGTATGATCGAATAGATTGATTTCCCACGAGGTTTCGAGATACCAAGACTCGAACTGTCAAGTGACTAAGACATTTCTGACCCCAGATACTCTACGCTGCGATTCTATTAGCGGATAAAAGCCGTTGAATATGAAGTACCGATGCGGCCAAGTATAAATCATCTTGTTGTGAGGTCCTCTGGTTAATTCGAGTCCCCGCTGCTTGATGATAGATGGCGCTTCTCCGAGTCATGGTGGCTGAGTCCCGCAACAAGCTACTACACCGTCGCTGAACCCCGATTGTCACCATTCTATGCTTCACTATAGCACGATTTCCAAATAAGCCGTCCGCTATCTTCGAGCACCTTTCATTGGTAGAGTAAGAGAAACGTCTGGTAGCTTCATCAAGTGTGTCACGAATGAATGTACTTCTCTACTCCATCTAAGTTTATGAATTGCACCTAACTGTGAGGGGCAAATTATGATTCCTAATCCGAGCCCCTGAAGTTTACCGCCATGTGGGACTCTACAGTATACTCATTCATCCTGCCGGAGCCGTAGCCTAGACATCCGTTAAGTAGAACACTCGAAAGACGAGGCTTTTTTATGTTACTTCAATACTTCGAAACATGGTTCCAAGCAAGCGAGTAAGGCAGCGAGGCATGGATTGTCTCATTTAACGGCAAAAATTCTCAACTAAAACACTGTGGTAGATGCCTCGCTGCCTTACTCGCTTGCTTGCTTGACAAGGTGCTTAGAGGATGTCACAATGTCTCATTTGCCGATAAATATGCCTGGATATGTGCTTGACTACCTCACTTACTGGGAGAGATGCTGGGAAAGGTGCTTAGGCAGGTGCTTGGAGAGGGGTTTATACCCCCCATCGAATACTATCGGACCATAATATGTAGCCAGCTAGCGTAACAGTATGTATTACACAAGATGGCAGCCATTGTCTGCCTTCCTTAAGCCTTAAAATAACGATTTTCGATGATCTCGGCCTCACTCTCAGTAGGTATATCGATTCTGAAAACCTCGAAATCTCCGTCCGCCTGAATGTGCCAAGGTAAGTGATAAGAGGCGATGCTACCCGAAATCAAGGCAAGCATTAATTCAAGTCATGGGGACAAGAAGAAGGGCAAAAGGTTCCAGCAGGACCTTCGCTCTGCACTATGTACGTAGCTGATTAATTTTTAAGGCATCCATGAGCTGGTGCCTGACAGGCAGCCGCGGCGCTTGTGAACAAGTCTCCTTTAGCGAGAGACAACCTGCCGGTAGATAATCCTCGCGTTCGTTACTTCCGGAGAGAGGGTTCTATCAAGTAGCAGGCATGTAGCTAGAAACGAATATGGAATGGATCGCGTCGTTCGTTTGTTCTATTGAGTTCAACCGGTCAGTTGCCGCGGCCGGTGGAAGATAATTCTAAAACACTGCCAGGAGAACAAAGGAGAAAGCGGCCGTTCGCTTGATTCAGCCTTACAAGACAGGATATATTTATTCAACCTGAAGGTATTCTTTAGCTGCAGGAGAACAGTCCCGACTAATTCTCCTTTGATCAACGAGTTTTGCTTGGAATCATGAGAATACTTGGTTGTGATTCGATAGACTTCGGGTTGCAGGATCCGGACCCCATTCCTCCCTGCACCCATCCCTGTGCTCAACGCATGATCTCCAAGAGTTGTTTCTGTTTGAATAGTTGGAATGTGTGCTTCTTCATTGAGCAGAATTGCGCTCAATTGACCCGTTATATCGGGTGGGCATTGCTTGTCTTTTCCCCTGAAATCTTTGGGGGGGGCCTGCGGTAGCAGTGCCGGGTACAGTACTTAGGGCTACAACATCTCGTACTATTCATCTTCAATTCACTGCGACCAACACTTGAGCCTAGTCTCGTCACTTATAATTTCATATCACCCTCGACCGAATTTGATCTCACTCAATATTACTTAATAAAGAATGCTTCCATCCCTAGATAAGATCCTGCGTTACTTGCATTCAGGATCTCACGATCGCAAAGTCAAACAATACCTCGAAAAAAGCCACACAAGGCCCAATCTTCAATTGATCACACATTGAGCACAGAAACGATACCAACAGAATGCTAGAGTCCATCAAAAAAGACCTTCAGAGTGCACTACAACCCATAATAACAACAGAAATCCACAATCCATGGACGAAATTCGACGCTTCATGCATGGAGGATTTGGACCGCCGACGCTGTAAGATATGCGCCCGACACAATTTTCCGAGCTAGCTAATCTTGCAATTGAGATTACACTGAGAATAGCTTGAAGAGCCACATTGACGGAACGCACCCAGGCGCTTTATTCTCCGGGGATGCCATCGAAGTGTTGTGGAAATGCTTCTATTTCTTCGCTCACCATCCGTTTCCATGTGAGTCGACTGACAAGACAGCCAACGAAAGAGTCGACGCAGACGCCTTTCAAAGAGCAGTAGCCTTGCTCGCGCACCAAGGTACTAAGCTGTTGGGGACACAGGAGGCAGGATAATACTTTTGGCGACATGTCAAGGCGTTCTTTCACAGAGCCAATTTCCGGTGTTGATGAGGATCGGTCTTGGAGAGCACCCATGTTTTTTCCGCCTTCGAGCCACCAAATTATTCCCAGTCTGTTTTGGACGATATTATGGATGTACTGGCTACGACACAGCCATATTCCACAAATCTAGCACCGTCACCGACTCAGCTGGAAGCGGTAGCCAGGAGGCTTTTGGCTGAGGGTCTCACCATTACCACATACCGCCTCAGCCAGACAGAGCTCTCGACCTTTTTAGTCTTACTTCTCCGGCTGAGGGTTTCAAATGACAAATGGGGCGGGAATTATTACTTTGGGTCCTTTGCGGACGAGAATCCAGTGGATGAAGTGTTGGCCAGCGCGATGGCTGCAAGACTCATCCGCAGTGATGAGGTAGATTTGAGAAGGCTTTCGAAATGATGATGGATGCATTGGTAAGAAGCCTCTACCCATTCGTCAACTAAGATGCTAACAGGAGCAGCCAGATCTTATGTCACGTTCCATCAACTATGGACAACTCTTTTCCAGCCTCCAACGTCGGACTTACACGGCGAGCTCGAACAAAAAGATGAAAATATGTTATCGCGTTACTTGGCCGCCATTCGTTATTCGTGTCCATGCCTGAGGCATCGACACCTGTAGGTTTGCGAAATAGACACATCAACTATAGTAAAGTCGGTACGACTCGAGATAGAGATGTCTTATCATTGCCGTCTCGTCCATCACCTCTAAAATGGTCCGGATTCCCATCTCGTCCTGGCCACGAATCTTCACGGTCCCCATGCTCCAGCAACCGTAATAGGAAGCTTCATCCTCAGTCTCTTATGTGCAGGGTCCGACAGCAGCAGCGGAACCCGAAACTGCAAGACTGGAGACACACACCTCCTCTTTCAGCTACAGCCGGACTTCTGACTGATCCGATGGGGAAGACCGCACACACTTCTGAAGACCTCGATCGAGACCAATTACGAACTTGCCTCTCTCCGCGCCGTGGATGTAGAGACCTGGCAACAGATGTGTATGAAACCTTACTATATCGGGGACTCAAAAAGAAGCACTGCTAGGCTGCTTATCGATCCAGAAGGGATTTCGGTGTCATTGCATGGCGCAAAAGATTTGAGCACTGCAGCGGTGGGGAGATATAGAGAGGTAACGAGAAGTGACACGGGAGATAAGGATTGAGAGGTAGTCGTGCAGCGTTGCACAGTTCATATGTTCGCCGTGATCTAAATATGTCTAAAGCTTCTAGGCATGCAGTTCTCCCACGAGAGCCATTGGGGGTGAAACTGACGGGCTCCTTAGCCCGCAGGGTCTTTACCCACGGATGCCGAAGGCATTCATGGCGGTATAAATGTACATAGTTCAGAGCGAAGGGCATCCGGGCCTTCCTCTTCTGTTTCTATTCTTATAAATGAGTCTTTGCCTGGAAGACTGTATGGCTTTCGAATCCTCATGGAAACATTCAATAAATCATACTAATGTAACTGCAAACGCTCGTTCAAGTTCTCCGCTATGCACCCAGCTCACATAAACCGATCCCAAAGTAGTGCTGCGCCAGCCAACACGGCCATCGAAGTTTCAAAGGCCGCAACCGGTCTCCAATTGCCGCCATTCCGATACATGACCCACGCTGCCACCAGACGAGAAGGTATCGAAGAGACCATGATCAAAGTATCGCGCTGGTATGTCGAGATGAGGTAGTATGTGCCAAGCGCAAGAGAGGTCAGGCTACGAGAACAATTAGCGACCAGCATCAGCTGTGTGAGGTGAAGGATACAATGTTTACCCAATGCATTGAACAGCGCCTTCGGGGGTTCCGGTCAACGACGAGCCCTCAAAGTGGGCGACCGATGATGGAAACAGGATAGAATAAAATGCATTTCCTAGAAGAAATATGCCTTGGGCGGCGAATACAGTGCTTGAGACGCCGCCCATGCGGAGACCAAGGTTGTAGAAAGACATGATCGAGGTACTTTGTGTTTGGTGAATTATGGTAATCTGACCCAGTGAGCTTATGCTTGGGTGCGCAAGGTTTACTATTTTTATACCAGGGAGGTTTCGTGGGGGCTTTCCGGTCGCTCCGATCAGCCGCCGAGTCTAAGCGTCGCTGCGGCCCCTCGGATAAACTTTCATACGATTGTCCATACTATCTAATCTCTTGGCAAGATGAGATGAGAGGAGAGAAGAAAAAGTCAGAGAAGGGAAGAAAGAAGAAGAAAACACGAGCATACGTGGCAAGGTTATCTTGAGAGTTTCATTGAAAATGATGTATAGGGCGGAACGTTTTTCGGAGAGCATAGTGCCTGTACGAGGGTGCATCTAGATATCCATAAGATTTCAGAACAGCGGACACTACTTACAGTGATAAAAGAAACATACCAGGAAACTCAAATCTTGTTACTCAAGCGCTGCTCACATGCATGTAGGTTGTGCAATGGGGGTACATAACAAGGTTGACAGCTTTTGGCACTAAGGTACAACTATGAGAAGAAGTGGATTAACTCATACATACAGCAAGTCAAGCGTACAGAAAGAGACGCAAAGTGTGAAATCCAAAGTGCGTGCGGGGAGGTCAACTCAGTGTTCCATCGGGGTACTTGATGCGAAAGTGCACGTACTTGTTGACATCAACATATGAATCGATCAGAAACTCTTCCGGGGGATCTTCGAACAAAAACCCATCATCGTCATCAACGTCATCTGAAGCTCCGAACCGGCACTGGCGCTTGATTCCGGACCAAGTCATCGTACCAGCCCATTCGCGGATATCATACCCCGGAGGAGGTGAAAGAGCGCTCTGAATATCGGCGCCCCGACCTCGACACACCATTACCAGGAGCTCATTTTCCACCTCTTCTTCACGGAGGAGCTCTGCGTCGGCATTCACGCCAAACAATTCCTGGGAGCATCCATCGGGAAGTGTCTTCTGCTCAAAGACATGGCATGTTCCAGGGTTGAGAACTGCTCCCGGAAGATTGGATCTGGTGGATCGATGATCTTGACCCCAACACCCGAAGCCTCTCCATCGCAATGGGCGGTCATGTGATTCCAGATCTTAGGCTGTGGCTTACGCCAGTATGGGTCGGCCATGAACATGTCGATCTTGGCGAAAGCGAGCATATCAGAATCCGGGGCGAGGAAGCGTAGTTTCTGCCATCCTGTGCCGTACTGAATCAGTCCTTGCTATCACAGTCGGCGGAGGGCGGATGAGATCTTGCAAGAATCGTGAGGGTGTCAAGGCGCAAGGCGGGAAGAAGCTTTAGCGCCCACGCAAGTCGACAGAAAACATCGTCGTGCGTAGTCGATAGGGGAAAACATGAGCAAGTGCCCGCCGAAGCGTAGGTGACGGATGGCGGAAACCGTCGCTGGAGGCAAGGGAGAGAGTTTGTCCAGCATGCCTTCCACGGTTTCGAAGGAAAGTATGACCTGGCCGAGCCATAGCCCCGTCGTTTCTTCATAGGTCAATCTGCAAGCACGAAGGATTGCCAGCGAATTTGGAGCGGGCTTGACTGTGATGAACGTGAGTCGAGAAAGAATTCTTTCACCGAAGCTGAGTCGTGTGGCGGCGAAGAGATGGGTGTAAACCAGGTTGCGTAGCTCGCCGGGGAGTAGCATGAGCCGACTCGAATGTTCGACAGGAGCGCTCTCACCACTATCACGCGTGGAGCTGGTCATTTTGAAGTTGAGAATGACAGTTCGCAGGATGATATGGATATAGAAATTGCTAAAGGCAGGAAGAATATGAGAAAGGTGAAGGAGAGGACAAGTTGAGGCAGTCGGCTCTTTCGTGGTCGTTTGTTGTCGTGTTACATCAACAATGTCACATGACCTGGACTCATCTACGTACCGAAAGCCGACACGGCACGAAGGGGAATCTAAACAAGAGACTCATAATCAGTTGCATGCCTTTTCAAGAGGGAAGCCCCTCGCACGGGACGTGAAACAACATGATCCCCTTCCCTGTCTCGGTGCGGTTAATGAAGAATTCGCAAGTCGTTTTCGACACAATGAACATTAAAAGTGGCTGATCGGGCAGAAAAATACACGCCAGGGTTCATCGCCCTGCGATGTAAACCAGACCACTTCGAACCCCAAAATTTTGGCATCATGCGGAAAGGCAAACCTGGAGATTTATCAGCGTCCGCGTTCCCAATGTAGAACGTATCGATCTTAATAACAATGATTCGGTGGTCCCGGCGGAGAATATCCTGCGTGACGTCGGAGTGCCAGGTCTGGATGATCCATCTGTCGCAATGTTGATCTGCTTCCCTAGGTCGGATGAGGGTCGTCCCAGACGATCACAGAGTTGTTGGTGCAGAGGCTCCGGAGCCAGTGCAGGTAATTTGCAAAGAGTCGGTTATTATCGTCCGATTTCAAAATATATGCGATTTCCTCGGCCCCGAAATGATGGAAGTGCGGGGACTGGAAGTACCGGTCCACCGTGGAGACTAAATTGGTGATGTAGGCGTGTCGTTGGGTATTGCGAATGTCGAGTTGGGCAACAGGTCAAGGATGGTGTTGACCGAGAAGAACTTCCGCGCGGTGTCGAGCTGCATGAATCTTCTGTGAGGGTAAAGATCAGCGTCTTCATCCATGAGATCGATATATTATATTTTACGTAGGGCTAAGTTGTAGCAGGCGGAGAAGAAAGGGCGAGGCGGGCACCAGATCTATCTAATTGATCGCCGCGCAACTGCTTATTTTACACCCACCGTAATACACCGTCCCACACTACGCCACCTCATACGCGGCACTGCCCGTAAAACCTTGTTAGACGCTTAGACATGCTAATAATATGTTCTATAACCCACCTGGCAAGGATCACTCATAACCCGATAAGGCATCGCTTGGAAATGCATAGACTATCGTTAACATGATGCCAGATCTTACTCAAAGTCATTTACAGAAGAATTGTCGATATACTCCGGGCTGGATGTGCTCGGCAGTACGCTGAGGCGTTCCCCAGGCTTTAAAGGCCACCACCTGGGCTTCAATGGTCTTCTCATGGATTATTCCCCGGAGCCTCTGTGTCTTGGACCTTCGCTCCTGCTGAGGAGAATGGAAAGCCGGACGCAGCGGACACACATCGGTCGCCAGTTCGCCATCATTGCGGGGAAGGTCTTCAACCTTTTCAGGACCATTGAATCGGGGTACAACAGCAACGGGAGACAAGCAATTTTTCCGCTGACTTTGATCAAGCTGTGAGTCTTCGTACATTCTTGATATCGATGCCTAGAAAAAAGCCCCCAAAAGTCGACCAGAAGGAGTTGTGACTTCGAGCCCCTCTGGGTTGGTCCGCAACGTACGACACCTTATATACAACGATGCCACAGCCATGACCCTAGGTGAAGTGTGGGCATCACCCTCCAGTACCGACAACAAAAGTCTAGATAGGATAAAAAAATCCATCACTTCTTGTAGATTGGGATCTAGACTCCCCGGTTACGATGCCTTCGACTATCTTGACAAAATAGGCCATATAATTGGACACGGGGTCTTTTGCTCGGGTCTCCTATACCTGGGCTGAGAACCCACGGAGCTGGTATAGTTAGCTGATCCAGAGCGAGATTACAGGGGCAAAGAAGGAATGAGGTTATCGGACGATTATGGCTGGACCAGGCCAGACTTATGCCCAAGTGCAAATCATTGTCGTTCAGGTATATTTTATTCAACATGCGTATAAGAAGCCGTGTCAGATAAGCACAGGTCACGTTCTACGCAGGAGCTCGCTGGCTTGCCCTGTGTTGTTGTACTGTGTCACAGCCCGCCTGAATCCGCAAAATGATGATTACCCTGAGCCTCCGTGATGTGATTACAGCAACAGAAGAGCAAAGCAGTGTGATGGCAACGTGCGATCAAAGGTAGCTGAGCGTGAACAGGCTTGCCTCACTTTTCAGATCGCCAATATCCACATCGGTGCCCACAGCATCTTCGCTAGTCTGTCGCATTCTGGCTCTTTGAATGGCGACACCCCTTTCGATATAGACGTCCTCGGTCACCTGTCTGTCCGGTCCCTCTGGCGTTAGTAACCATAGGCCCGGACGGCCAGCGTATCCGATCTTGTTCTTGTGTCGATCATAAAGGTAGATGTAGAAACAATCGTCCGATTCCACATACTGACCCGTCTGACCAAGGTCCACCGGAATAAAGGTGAAATAACACGCATGCTCGGCGTTACTGCCTGCCCAAACCAGAGCCTGCTCTACCACGCGAGCCATGGTAGGGTTGATGCCGAGCCATTGTTCCTTGCCCTCAATGGTGGTCTTGATTTTGTACTGTTGGTCATATTTGAGCTGAGCGAGTTACAGGGTCAGTCCAGTGAAACGCACGTGCTCGGCGGGATGGAAACGCGGAAGGGTTAGAAAGCGTAAAGTGCATTGCGTAGGAAGGGGCGGTAGTCAGATAGAGTCCATACCTTTGGAGTCTCGCCTTGCTCCGTGATAATAGAGAAGTCTTGACCTGGGGCCTGAGCTGTCCGTTGGGACTGCACGAACTGGACGGGCAGCTTGCCAAATTCCGCTTCGTTCAACTGTTTACTGAGCCTTTCTCTCTGTGCGGTAAATAAGCCCGTGCCGTACAAGGCTAACAGCTGCCTTGCTAGTTCGGCTGGGATAGAGTCAGTGATTGTGTCGACTAGATAAGATCTTCAAAGCATTTTCTCACCAAGAGTCTTCCCATTGTCTGCGCTGGACACAGACACCATTTCTCCCATGGATTCTAGACGAAACTTAATTGTCTGCCGTTCGGGCTTTTTCGAGGCCAGCAGCGCCGCAAACCGTGCCTTGGTATCTTCATATCCCGGCACCATGGAAATGACGTCTTCAAGCGGCATGATCTTGGATTGGTGGATGGGTCTCCAGTTGTAAAACGAGCCGACAGTGTACGCCCAGTTGGGAGGGCTAGTTCGGCATTTAAGTTAGTATACTGACGTCCGGCAACCCAATAGAAGATATTCAAGAACAGGCTGAAGATACGCACTTGTTGCACTGCAGGGTATCGCCACCCTGAGCCTCCCAATTGATCGTGCTGTATGCTGACACATCCCTCTTCTCGGAGCTAGAGTCGGACGAGTTGCTATGGCTTGCACTGGCCGACGCCTGCACCCAAGGCGAGGAGAAAGAAAGCGCCGCGGCTGCCCTCATCGACTTGGCCTGTTTTGCGGTGGCCGCGACGTCGGTGGATTCACTCTGTTCCGAGTTGTGGAGGCGACCGCCCAGCTGAACCCTGGTAGTAAAAAAGCGGCCTGCAGGGTGTCAGGGCACCTGTCCGGTCGCTTAGGTAAATTATACGCAGACTTGGCCACCTACCGTATTTGCTCTTGAAGATATCGATGGCTGCAGCTGTATTGACCCGCTCCAGATCGAACTTGCATTCCTCGCTCAGATCAAGGCCAGACGGCTCGAAGTCAATGACCACTCGGGGAAACTATCCATGGCACGTAGTCAGAGAAAGGTCCGTGGATGACTGAAAGCCGGAGAAGAAACATACATTGTAGGTGATTGTCATTACGCGACTCTCTTGAGTGCTACTGGAGGTCGACGATGATGATTTGCTCTCACTGTAGCTTGCCGACGCGCTGGCACTGTAACCAAAGGCGCCGCCTTCGCTGCAAACCCCTCGTGTCTTAGCTCGATAGAAGTGATGCCTAACCCGAGGGTAAAGGAATGGACCTTACATGGCCATTTTAGCATCGGTTTCAGATAAGGACGCTTCAGCCATCGCTCGAGACACCGATTTCTTCGTTTCGAACTGTCTGATATACGAGTCGTCGTCAATCCGGAAGCGAGGGATCCGGAGTGATTGCTTTTGTGTATCAGCTATAGCAGGGAGAGGGCCGGTATTCCACGGAGGTTATCCCACCTTTGCCTCTCCAATTGAGTCCACCTCTGCCGTCGCACTGATCTGGTAGTTGAAGAAGTTGCGTGGTTTCAACACAAAACCTACAATCCCCGAGATAAGCTGAGCCGCTTCTGGAAAGCCTCGCACGGGTCATGCTAGAGGGTACTCACTGGGGTAGAGTGCGCGCTCAACGAACTTGTTGCCATCCACATCGACCACGCGGTAAGCATGGAGCAGACAGTTGTTGCGCATCACCACACTCCAATGCTTCTCCGACATATCGGCTGGATGGACAATACTAAACGTCGTGGCAGGATTGTAGAAGATATTGTGACTGAAGGTAGTGGCTTCCTGGGGCTTGGTGGGCTGTCGAGCGACCGGGAAATCGGCAGCACTCTTCTGTAGGATCGGTCAATGGATGTCGCATAGCAGCGGGCATGAAGACTTCCTTACATCCACCGCCACCTTCTCCCCTTGGTTGCGAAGACCATGGGTATAACCGGTCTCGATGATTTTCTTGGAATTGAGGTACACCCGGTAGGTGTCGGCATTGTCTTCTGTCCGGTCCTAGTAGGATTGTGAATTTGGCTACTTCGACGGTCGGTCAGGTAGAAAAACTTACCCCAAGCTCGCTCGACTGTATAGCAGGTGTGTTAACAACATTTGTTATCCATGGACCTCCGTGCACAGAACATACCTTCTCATTGAGAATCTGGAGATACGCCCTGAAACTGGTGGTGTCTGCGACCTTTGCGCCCCGTTGATTGGTGAATGGACTCGAAAGCCTGCCTTGCAATTAGCACTGCCTCCGATATGGGGCGAAAGAGAGGTGTTTCATGCAGCCTTGGTTCCAGGGCCTTTTCGCTGATTAGTAGCTGACGAATGTCCGAAAGCTTCAGACCTGCGTCGTCTGGGTTGGCAAACGGAATGCAGGCTTTCTCCTTCACGAGTCTGGTATCTCCATCATATGAGTAGACATGGAGGATCTCGGGTGTGCCTTTATTTAGGACTGAAAGTGGTCAGGCTATAGTTAGAACAGGGTGTCAGAATTCTTTGGGTCGGGCAACGTACTTTCGGTGGCCTGTTTCTCTTCGGCAGCTGCAACAGACGAAGCGTCCTTGGCTGTGTGACTTTCTGTGTCCGTGGTCTTGTTCTGGTCCAGGTCTGACAAGAAGGAACATTAGTTTCCCAAGTGTGGTGACCTCTCAAGCTCGAAAGGGTTCAACATACTATCAGAAACTTTCTTCAGGTTGTCATCGACAGCAGACGTGGTCTTCTCGGCTGTGTCTACGACGCCTTTCGCTATACTAACGGTGGTATTTTGAAGCAATGAAGCCATTTCGGAGAGTTGGGGCTGTACTGGCTGGTACTTGAGGTAATCTTCAGTGGTGAGATAGAGTAGGGACTCTAGATAGACAGGTGAGCTGGGTATAGAGGGGTGAGCGTATTTATGGCGGATCTTTTGACTACGGCGAACACTGCCCCAGGAAGCTACAGGATCCTGCTAAGGACAACTATTCTTCCTTTATACGGAGACTCTGTCGCCCTCTGCTGGCTTATCTCTCTGCGGTAAAGATCGGCCTAGAAGAGAGCCACTGGAGAGAGTTGGTAGGTCCAGTTGACCCGCAGTGGCCTGACTAGCCATTTGGTTGGCATGGACTGATTGGGGCGATAGGAACAATCTTGTCTGCGTCTAGATTGCTTGTAGGGGCTTCATGCACAATGATATCAAAGTGCGTCCTTCGAAAGCTGGTTATTGTAGGTGACAAACCTGCCTCGTTGTGACACACTCTTCCGTAGCGTAAGACAGATCGCTGCCATGTAACACAATGGCGAAAGACCGGCAGAATTGAGGCCCACCTGTGCGGGGTATCAAATCTATTAAGATTGAAAAGAGGGGTCGAAAGGCAGGAAACTTGATGTATCCATACGACATCTGCATGCATGCAGGATGTGTTGATCGTGTTGGTCGCTGCCCGCGCTGTGGGGGTCGGCCCGCAGGAGACCCGCTTCCACTCGACGCGATCAATGTCGCTCCGAGCCCTAGCTCCATGCATTTAATCAATCGTGAGCTGATCTGCAGAGTGGCCACTGGCAAATGATGAATGACGTTCTGCTGCCACATCATATTCTTCGAAAGCCTGTGTGCATCAGCTGGCTTTCAAAGACGGGTTCGTCTGACGATCAGCAGACGTCGTACAAATGTTCAAGTTTTGCTCTCTGTTTGAAAAGATTACATTAATCATGATCATCACCGATGTCAGTCCGACCCGCCTGTGCCATGCTAACTGGCATTAGACTGGATGCACACCTGACGGATCGTGAGCGCCTCCAAGATTTGATCTGAACAGTTCCTTCAGAAGTGAGCCTAATGCGTAGAGTAATCTGCCTCTTCCAAATCCCTAAAAAGAAGAGGAGTGCTCGGATTTGATGCACGGTTTGCAGCTATACTACTGCACGGCACAACGAACCCGGTATAGTCGCGGCTAATGTGCTGGCTACACAGATGTATTTTCAAGTTGTGTAAGTGTAGCTCTACAATCCCTTTCAGGTAGCTGGGCAATTCTGCGGCTGAGCTCATCATTGCCGACCAATGCCCCCGCCGTGGTTTGCTAGAGATGCCAGAGGGGTAACTATGTGTTATGAAGGCTAAACACATGAGGTCGGCGACTACACCTTTTGTCTGATCAAAACCAGTATAGATCTGATAGGTACTGTACATCGCAATCCAGATGAAACAAGCTGCATGTGTCTGATAGTGAGTATCTTGTTTGCCCGCTGTGCTGGGGCTCGTGATATTATCATGTAATATGATGTTATTTTACCTGGCGGGTTCGTTTCATGAAGGAAATGGGTTCAAAGATCGTGCGGTACATCGTAAGAGAGATGACCTATGAATCATCTTTCGGAAACCATAGTTGTGAGAGATTGGGATGTGGGAGGTTGACACAAATAGCCCACTGTCCGGGTCGACAAGCTAGTTACCCTTCCATGGTTAGTATTTAAACTGACCTTGGCAAAGCATACTGAGACACAAAAGAAAAACTTATGTTGCAGGAGACCCTGCTTTGCTTCAAGCACTATGAAGACAAGTTTTATCATAGAAAAAGGAAATGGGGCCAAAAACATACAACAGAAGGGATTCGCTGGTGGTCACCCACCCAACTACTAACCTCCCGGCGTGTGGCTTAAGTACGGCTGAGCGGACGGGAAGCCCTGTTTTCCACACCCTATGGTCGTATGTGCTTGCTCTAATGACTATTTATCTCATATCCAGTCCACAATCTACCTTCTTACTTGTAATGTTAACTGATACCAACTGCGTGATCCCCCTTCGAATTGCCCGATCGCGGCAAAGGGCAACCGCGGACAAGCCCTCCCTTACTTTAGCCCTAACTAGCCTCATCACATCCGAATCGTGCATTCTAATTATTCGGGCAAAGGCTTTGCTTCAGTTAAGGTACTGAGGTATTGTTGGTTTGTATTTCTATTGTGGTCAGGTATATCTTTAGTGTTCTTCTAACATAACGCGCGTCGAAAGTAGAAAAATATATTTCGCGGTCGCCGCAGGAGCCACGGCTGTTTCTCTTCTGACAACATTGTGTCCGAATCGGCGACATGCTCACCTCCTGCCAAAGCGTCCTTGATCGGGTCCATGACCGCTTTATCGACGGCAGTCGTGGTGCCCGTCACGACCATTTTCTTCCCGATATCCTTGGCCAGCCCTTGGAAAACCTTTGTGGCTGTCTTCTTGGTGGCGGCTTTGGCAACCGCCTGGGCGGGTTTGCGGATGGCTTGCGCTGTGGCATCGCCTACCCCGAAGGTCAGGCCGCTAAGCGCGGAGAATGCCAGGTCAATCCCAACCTCGACCCATGAGATCTTATTCCCCGCGGCGACGTCGTAGATTGTGGAGGTCGCAAAGTCTGCCACGACGCCGACGGCGACCGAAACGCCTAGCTGGATGGCTAGGCTGGCCCCGCCGTTCAAGGCGCCCACTGCGACGGACGCGGTAATGCCCACCACTGTCACCAGCAGGTCCTTCCAGCTGAACTTCCACCCAAGAATACCGAAGTGTCCGCTTGAGTCGACACGATTGATTGGGTCTCCGAGGGAGGTGAAGGGGCTCCATGGATCCGGGTGGTGAAAGCGCATCAAGACCGGGTTGTAGACTCGGTAGCCGTTACCTAGGTGGTACCTGCCGGTGATAGGGTCGCGTAATAGCCCGTTGAATCCTACAGACGGGCCTCCGGTGGAGGTGGAAGGCAGATGACTGAAGCCGTAGGGAGTGTACTGGGTGTGGTGAACCCCACCTTCCGTCCGAAGTCGTCGTAGACGCACTCCGTAGTCAACGCTTGCTGATCTGACGCATTCGGCGTGCTGCTGCTGCTTTGTGACAGGCGTTGGGGCTCCGGTTTGTTTGTCCAACTCAAAGACATGGTCTCGATCTGTCTCACTCACCTTGGTGACCGCATAGTTGAGCTGTGGCTCGTAGTACATGGTGCTCTGCTTCCAAAAAGGCATGTAGATCTGCCGAGGCTCGGTGTGGGTGCTTTCAAAACGGTTGCGTCCGTGCTGTGGTCGAGCCCATCGAACAACTACCTCCCCAGCTCGTTGCCGCCGAGTTTGATCGAGACGGGCAGGGCTGAACTACTCTGGGAGGCATCCTCGGTCTGGACGACGCGGCCACTGGGCCATGTGGTCCTGATGGTTCAGTCGAACATGTTGAGTTCATACTCAGTCCTACAGCCTAGATGGTCAGTCTCTGAGACCTGTGTGCTGGCCTCTTCACCGTCCCTGGTGAGCAGGGTCTTCTGCAGCACCGCTCCTTGAACGTTCATCGCTGTCGCGACTAGGCCCTCGTCTTAAATCCCCTCCCTTGGTCAACGTTACCGGATCCATCACGGTCAAGACGGTACTGCTGCTCTTATTCTGGCCATCGCTACGGGTCTGCCAGAAGACCTGACCCCAGTCATTGTATTCTAGCTGCGTGACCGTCCTCTGCTCAATGAACTTGGATACTGTAGACGTATGCAGTCGGTCCACCTCTACCGCCTCAACACAATGTCTGTATTTACTGTACTTCCGCTCCTGCACCACGCGGTTAAGTGGACGACTGCGCCGTCTCCTGCTTCCCTACGCGGATGACCCGTTTCAGCCTGTCAGTAAAGTACCTCGTCTGCACCTCACAGCTATCCATCACGGTGATACAGTAGCCGATCTCATGTTTCACCCGGGCGTAGCCCTGCCGCCGCGCTGTTTCGTACTCTGTGCCCCGGGAGGCAGTCATCGAGGTCACCCGGCCCAGCAGATCATACTTAAATGCTCGTATGGCTCTTCTCCAGTTCAGTCAGGAGGAAGAGATTCGACTCGTGGCGGATTTTCTGGCCATCGAATGTCGTGCTCGCGACCGACTGTGGGTCAGTTCGGCCAAGTCCCGACTATAGGTCCAATCATGGGAGACGGGATAGCTATTGGCAGTTGTATCGACCTGACGAATCATCTGACCGTGTTCCGGCGAGTCCGGTCTGCGACATACTGGTATCACATCCGGGTGAGCTCGTTCTCTGCGCCAACCAAGCTACGCTCCTCCTGCGCGGCGACAAAGTGGCCCGCGGGGGCCCCGGCCATCGTGGCAGAAATTAATAAGTGTAGCGGCGCCGGAACGTCGGGGTCTGGTGCGGACTTGGTGCCGGCGTCACCGTCTCCTTGAGACAGCGGACAAACTCTCACTGTAGGGCCATGGTATGTGCGCGTGATCACCCGCTCGTCCGGCGTGAATTCTTCCAGTGGGTTTCCTGCATCGTCCTACTGGTACGAGTTGGTCTTCGTGCGAGGAGGTCGGCCGTGGTCCGCATCTCGATCCGTGTAGGTCGTCTCGACCTTCGCCGGCAACAGGTAGTACGGTGGCTGGTCATCCAAATACCCAATTGGCTTGGTGTAGTATGTAACTTTCTCGCGTGACAGAGCTCCTGCCCTGGGTCTGTACAGAGCTGGTGTCTAGGTGATACTTGTTGCCGGTGTACATCGCGTCATTTTGGGGTCTCGCTCATCGCCCCCGGACACCGTGCTCTAGTAATTGTACGGTTCGACTAAGAGGTACAAATAATTCCCGTCGTCGGTCCACCGAAAGCCGGATGCATAGCCGAGGAAATTCTTGTCGGAATAGCGATAGTTTGTTACGATCGGAGGGTGTCCCTGGCCTGGCCAGACTGCGTGTTGAGGACATTCGGGATGCTGGGGTAGGGTTGTTTGGGTCCCGTGGGCAACAGGTGGAGCGCCATTCTGCTCTCGATACTTGATCTCTTCCCCGAGACCCGAAGGGCTGTCGACCTTATCGATACACCAGAGCAGGCCGTCATAGTTGTACTGGAACTCCCAACACAGCTGGCCCTCGGCAGCCGGAAGCTTGAGCTTGTCCAGCCTTCCTGACCTCACAGTGAGCTTAAAGGTGCGGGCCTCCGCCGTGTCCGGGGTCGTCATGATCCGTGTGTGGAACTCGTCGTACTCGAACCGAACCAGACACTGCGCCCCATCCAGGATCTGGTGTAGGCGCCGATCCTCGTTGGACCGCCACACCAAGTTTAGAGCGCGACCGCTTGGGGAATACAGCTTCTGGAGCTCGCCGCGCTGCGGGGTCTTCGAGATGGCCCTGACCTTTAGTCCCTTTCCATCTGGGTGCTCTGAGTTCGGCCGTGGCTGGTTCTTGAATTAACCCTGTCGCCCATACAATTCAAATCTCCACTGGTGAAACCAACCGCCTGGCTGACAACAAACGAAAACTGACAGATCTGAAACTCCAGAGCTTTCAATCCGACTAGTACTGGGAGACAGACGAGGGCTCCTTCTGCTAGAAGACCGGCCAGATTGAGGTGTTTTCTACCAAAAAGAATGAGCGGGTCTTCAAGATCTGTGCCGGGGCCTCGTTGAATTGAATTGAGCATGTGTATTGCCCCGTGCGAGGGTCGACTCCCTTCTGTAGGGAACTCGTGAAATTGCATGCCCGCGATTATAGACTCTTGGAAGTTGAGGTCATGATGGGCTAATTGATTCCAGTAGGTAAATAGGGGGAACCTGGGAGACTTGGGTCAATTTGGTATTCCGGCAAAGCAGACGGGGAGAGTGGGAGGGGAGGGCTATGTATAAATTCGACTTTATCCACTGCGAATGGTCACTCGGTATCTGTGCTACTTATGTTTCATCTCAGATGGTCCCCTTTCTCCCTGCCAGGACCCCGCATGCCTCCAATCGTTGATGTTTGGATGACATGTCCAGGCGCTGGCCAGAAGAAACCAAATTCCAAAGTTTGTCACCTACCAATCACTCACAACCCTCAGCTTGATTACTGACTAGTCCATATTTCTACTGACAACGTACGTAGGTGACTAGCATTAGCACTAAGCACGCATCATGAGGATTGTGGTTGTGGTTGTAATGGGCATTGTGTTGAAAGGAGCGGTGAATAGATCGTCCACTGTACAGATCGTCCACTGTACAGTACAACTACTGACTTAGTCTAGACTTTCGAGTTGGTCGTGCCTCAGCTGAGCTTTGCATCTTGTTGCATAGCTTTATATATCTTAGCATAATATGCCCCTCGGATCTCAACATGCGGGGGTTCTTAGTGGACAACCCTGAGGTTTGTTGAATGATCCGACGATTCCTAGTGCTTGCTTCCTAGTGATTCCCGGATCGGAATTGATCGAAAGAGCCCGGCGGGCCGAGATCCGCGGCCAGAAGCGTTCGACGTCAACAAAAAGACCACGTACAGGGCATACGTCCCAGTATATCCGGTGAATACCCTCTGCCACTAGCACAATAAGATATGAGTAGTCAAAAGGTTGGTTCACGTCAATTTAGTGGGCCTCTGAGCACCACAAGACACAAATCAGATTCGCAACCAGCAGTGCAGAAACTCAATCCTGAAGTGTATAGTCTACTGAGTTTACGGAGTACAGCTGTCCATGCCCATTGGCACGCTGGAATACATTCTTGTGTCGGGCCTCCTACTCCTTTGGCGACTGGCAACTTTCTATCTATCTTTATATGAGCTGAGGCTGCCATATCAGATTCTCTTGTCATCTTTTCGCTCTGCTTCCAGCCAACCTTTCCGAGCCGGAAGACTTTTTAGCATATCCTACAAAGAACCCTTTATCGTGAGCTTCGTTGCCGTTGAGGCCCCCAACCTCGACCCCCGACCTTTATGCGAATGGTCGTATGCCGGCTCCTGTTCGCGTCATGATTCGGATCTACGATGGCGACGATAAACGGTTCGAAACCAGCGCGGAGTAGCTGAAACAGCATGTATGCATGGTCGACTACTACGATACCTCCCAAGTACTTCCAGACTGCACGTTATAGGAATAGCTCTTCGTCCCAATGACCTAGGTCACCTCATTTGTCGATGGAGGGTGGGAGCACGCAGACAAGCCCCTATCCTCCCCAGCCGAGAGCACAACAGCATATCCGGCCATCCTCGTCGAGTACATCACCTTGTTTGTCAAGACGGGCGCGACAGGGTCCCGCAAATTGGCCGTCCGGATGCAGACGGCCGACGAGACGTACCACTACAGCAACAGCGCCAGTTACGCCAAGGGGGTTATCATCCGCGCCGTCACGCCGCGATACGGTACCAACGATCTCCACATTGAGGAAGTCGAGATCGCTAAAGGGGATTTTTATCCCCCGTGTGACTGGGTCCAGACCAACACCTATATCAACAACAAATCCGCCGAGTCTCCCTTTGTCAAAGTGCGGCCCTATAACTACCATTCCGCGAGCGACAGTCAGCCCGGCTGGGGCTGCTGCTGGATGGTCAAGGATGGCCACAAGTACAGCATCTCCACCCGCCATTGGTGTACGTGGCCGACAGGTGAGACCACGCGCACCGTCGGGTCGGCTGACGTCTCAGCTTACTGAATTTACTTCTAGCATGAAATGAGTCAATGGAATTTGATCCCCGCCGTAGTCTCCCGTCCACGCGATCATGGCAAAAAGAGCACGAGTGACCCCCTGATGCCTAAACCTCGCCTTCATCAGGAATACCCGTCCACCAACCCCTAAGATCTCGATACCAAGACCAGCCCCCCAGCGATCCCCCCAAGGCCAGGACAGCGATGAATGCCGTCTTGCTCATCTGAGTCTTGAAGCTGAAATCGTACTTCCAGTGCTTCGGTTCTTCCTCCTTACTGTGGGTGTCTTTGGAGGTCGTCTCCCTGTTGCAACGAGCGGAGTGTGTCGAGAATGCTGCTAACGCGCGAGACGTCATAGTAGCATGTGCACTGCGAGGACAGCTGTTGTTGTGAAGAGGGAGGGCGCGCAATGGGAGGCGACGCCGCAGTATTGTAGCCATGACGATTGGTGCGCAGCCTAAGCTGTTAAGTTTAGTTAGTATGTATTAATGGTATAAAGAAATGAACTGAAAATCGGTTGCTAACGTGGATAACTCTGCAATGTGCGATCAATGTGGACAAAGCAAATAGCCAGTGCGACTGGTATTATTTATATCTTAGTGAGTCAGACTGGGCGTGCGTCCGCGCAACATGCCGCTCCAGGACGGAGCGGGAATAGCGGTGGGCGGGTCCAAGCGGACTAGCCCGCAATCTCCCTAAAAATAGTTCGCCCTCCCGGCTCCGGATGACCGGCTCGGCTGTTCCGATAAGGTTTTGTCGATACTAGTTCGAGATCTACGATGATCTCCTACTCAATTTCACAGGGAGAGTAAGGCTTGAGGTATGCGCATGTGCAACTTGCTATTTTCGCGTGTACCTCCGGGTATATATTATCAGTCTGTACAGATCCGAGAGCCACTAGCGAAGCCGATCAGCGGTCTACACGGTGTGTGGTCACGTGTATCACAATATGACACAGCATCATGCCTTAGAAAGCACCGTTCCTTGAAAGGTCATGCGGCCTGACATCACCGGCTCGCAAAACAGACGATGGTTGCAAAGATCTATTAACCGAAGGTAGTAGTTATAATAGCCATTGGCTTTCATCGCAGGCCAAGTGTCGCCGTCTTACCGTTGCACTTGAATACACGTCGAGCACACCAGGCGCGGACTTCTCAACCCATAGACCTTGCCAACTAGATCTCTATCCTATCATCTGCTTCCCATTTTTTAGTCATATCGCGCTCAGACTTCCACCATGATCATTGTCAAAAAAGATTCGGATGTAATGACCAACTATGTGGCTACCAAATCCGTGCCCGCCGGAGAGGCCTTCGATGTCTTCAACGATATCCAGCAACGACCTGCCGTTTTTGCCCTTGGTGAGAACAGAGTTCTCAATCTGATTATTTCAACCCATCACGAACCCACCAAGATCGACTCTGCTCACAACTCCGCCCTTTCCCCCTAGGGATCTGTGGGATGACCTCCGAGATGAACTAGAGATCATCACCAATACCGTCGTCAACCTAGTTGGGGATCTGGTAGAGTTCTTCAATCTGCAGGACTACAGCGTGCAACAGGCTATCAACAAGATCAGGAAAGACTTGGTTACTGGAATGATGGACGCGCCAGGAAGGCTCGTCGATATCCTCTTCCAAGCTCTGAAGGTGGGCATTGATCTCGTGCGAGGCCTGGCCAATGTAAAGGTCGAAAACCCAGTCCTATCGTGGCTGTGGGATTAGATCATCGCGCGCGGGCGCCCTTTGACCTTACTGAATTTCTGCGCCCTGCTAGTGGCCATCCCAACCACCGTACTTCAGAGAGCCAAAAATGACCACGCACCGCCAAAGCTCAAAGAGCGGCGGACCAAAGCAACATTGATTGCCAAAGGAGAGGCGGGTACATCTCTCGTACATGATATTGTTGAATTCAGTGTCGCTGCTGCATCCAGCTTGGTCCTTGTTTGGGGCGAGTTCAATATGTTGTCTGTGCTGGTCGACGGGGGTTTTGGATGTCTGGTTCTGGAAATCATCCCCTTCGGACCCATTGACAGCCTTATGGATGTAATAGACCCGGCCTCACTTACCTTCAACACGATAGGCGGATTCACCACCTGGCCTATGGTGGCACCTGGGTCAAAGATAATCAAGCTCGGCTCGGATACGCGAAGCTTCATCACTTTACGAACCACCCAACCACCCTACTCTATGTAGTTCCTAAAAGGCACTGATCCTTATAGTACTGTGGCCTAGGTGGCGCTGAATTCCTGGTCGGCGTAGTTCTGAACAAGGTGGCGGAGAAAAAGGGCCTCGGCCGCCCCGTAAAAAGCGTGTCAAGGCAACCATCAGCGCGGTGATGTCCATTCGCTGTGTCTCGGTCTCAGCGGTGATATAATGGATCAGAAAGCGGGCAGCAAGCAAGATTGGTCGATGGTCAGCACACATGTTGGAACGGCTGCTGGGTTCAGCGCGAGTTGGGGAGGTGTTGTGGCACGGTGGAATGATGAGTTCACAAAGCTTTGATGTATGTCGGCTTGGCAGTGCGCTCGGCTTGTACATTGGTCAAGTACTATTGCCTCGCGACCCACTTTGTGTATGACGTGTTGCTGGGACGATAGTTGCACTGTGGTCTTTTGGTCTGGGGAACGGCGGTATTCTTCTTAGACTACTTTTGGTGACGTTTCTTTTTCCTATGGTATAAACATGTGACACGTATTGACTGAGCGATATAATGGAGATGGTTGATAGTCTCTACTAAGATGCCTCCTACTACCGTCACGCAGCTATAATTGGCATCGAAAGGCTTTCGCAACCACATCATTACGTCCCGGAAGACATCCAATACTGAAATCAAATTTCAACTTTGCCTGGTTGCCAGGAAAACATGCAGGGACTACCAAGGCCACTATATGCATATTTGAAGAAAGCATAGTGCGCAGGCCAACGCGCAGAATGTGAAAGTCCTCCAAAGACTTCTCAGAGGCAACTCTTTGGGCTCTTTGATACGTACCGAGGTCCTAGAGCATCTCAACGAACATCCCCAGCAAGAAGAGTAGTCTCGCAGTCACATATCCCACCTAGGCAGGAGGAAGCGCCTCCTTGCCCTGCTTCCACTCGCGCTCGTACTTCCACTCAGTCACACCAGTAACATGCTTCCCACTCTGGAAGAAGACACGAAGCTGGACCTCCCTGCGGCTGAAGGCGAGGGCCGCGACCTGACTGCCGGGCACGCACTGCTGGAGGAAGCCGCCGCGCTGCCACTTGTCATCGTCACACGCCATCTCCATCACCTGGTTATCCTCGTGGACGAAGTAGACGCGGATGCGGTCGTAGTGGAAGACGGTAGCCGCCAGATCTGTGCGAGGCGGGGCCTTGGAGACGGAGAACTCTCCATCCTTCCACTGGCGGCCGTCGTACAGCTTCTCGCGGAGGCCGAGATCGTCCTTCTGGTGGTAGACACTATGATTGACTTAGTATTTGACACGGTGGTAATAATGTGGAGCAGGTTACTGAATCCTCATGGCAGAGTCGTGCGAGTCGGAGCTCTGGGGGCTCACGCAGGCCAGGCCGCTGCCGGGTAGGGCGCGGCCAAGGTTGGTCATCTTCGACCAGCCGTGTTTCTCGTCTTTCGCGGATGGACTGTCAGATAAATGCATGCGCGCAACCGGAGAGGGCCGACTCACCATCCTGACCCAACTCCTGGATAGTGTTATCCTGCATCTGCACATAGATGCGGAGGTGGGTGGTGTCCTTGCCGCGGTGGCAGCACGCCGCCATCATGGAGTAAGGCGCCACCTTGATCTGGTGGCGGTTGAGGGATCCCTCGTGCCATCTTCCGTGGTTGTCACGGTAGACCTCCCTGACCACGCGGTCTTCTCCAATGAAGAACAGATTCACCTGGTGCTTTGATTAGTGCAAAACAAGATTGCTGCTACGGGACCTGATACTCACAGTATCGGAGGTCCGACAAACAGCGGCAATGGGGGACCCTAGGATCGCCTGTGCGACCACATCGTGCTGGGAGCCACCAGACCACTGGCCGTCGTGGAAGCGAGTCTCGCGGATACGGCCGTTGGTGTCCTGGGTGTAAACCTGGAATTTATCCTCGGACCCGACAGCGGCAATGGCGCAGCCTGGTTGTTGTTAGCATATGTGAGCATCACAGATGATAGGGGGATGGTTTCGGAAGTGGGGGAGCACGCACGGAAGCGGATCTCCTGGGCACCGGCGTTCGACATGGCGAGGTGTCTTGATAAAGATCTGTTGGTCGGTTTGCTGGTTTGAATAGACAGTTGCGCAAAGCAGAGAATGCTTGGATGCTCTGTGCTGAGAGGGTTTACTAGTCTGGGCTTGTTAGTCCTCTTATATCTGGCCATGTTACACGGATGTTTCCTGGCAAACGCTCTGACCCTCACCCCACGGGGATGAATGGCGTGGTCGTTGTGCCACAGTGACAAAGATGCGGAAGGTCCGGGATGGAAATATCAACGTTTTCGTTGCAGGTCGCACCCATCTGGCCTGCTTCGGAGGACACAACGCGCAATAACTGCGACATGGTATCGCACAGCCCTCATCTCATCGCCACATGTAACTTCCTTTTATGCAACAAACGGTTTTACAGAGTCCAATAGTTGCTGCACATTGACTTAGCAGTAATGGTTCGTGTGTCCGAGTGTTCAATTGAGTCATTGTGCTCTTGAAGCATCGACAAGCGGGTGAGTCGGTAGCTGCCCTCCTTTACATTTACATATTTGGCGTAGCAGTGCGCGACTCGAATCTGGCTTGATGCCTAACTTTGGTAGGATAGCTTGAGGGGTTAGCAGCATGCAATCATCAGCTTTGTCAGATGGTAGAAATTTACCTTGCGCAGTAGGCTCAGACAATGAATTAGGGCAAGGAAGCGACCGTTTTGGGGCTAGCGCACCTGTGTTGGTCTTTCACCTTCGTCGCGAACCGCACTCGGCAGGCTTTGCCAGGGTTATAAAACGTGAAATCGCCTGCGACCGAACCACATAGTCGCAGTTTTTGATCTGTCTAGTTCCCCTGCCTTTCCCTCCTGTTATCGTTCCATCGCTGGACGCGCGTGACTTAAACGGGCTAGGCTGGTTTGATTTCTCCTAATGTGCTTGGCTTCGATAAAGGTGTGTTGTTTCGTGCTGTTGTAGGACTGAGCTTGCTTCTAGAAGGAATACTGTCCTGGACCTGCTGGTCTCATACTTAGTACAGGAGCGCTGTATGTACAGGATTCCAGGACTTCGAACAAACACTGTAATGAGTCTCCCCCAGTAAGGCCGAGCAACCCGAGCATCACTTGTAGTAAGATTGTAGAAATAAGTCCGATGATCTGTCCATTCAATACACGTAACCCGCATGTTGTCGCCGTCAAGGTGACCTTACTGGGACGGGGGTCCCGTGGCAGGAAAATCTCGCAGCCAGCCTCATTCTCCCCACTATCACTTGATCCACATAGTACCATTAACACATTCGTTGAGAACTCAAAGAGCTTCCTTCCTTTCCGCCTCTCGCTATCAAAGCCACTTCCCTCACTCAAACACTATCGGGAAAGCTAACCCTACGGGAGCATTCAACTTCTCATTGGTGTCAATGCCCTAGCCCAGCCTCCCCCCCGGTGCCTACTTACTTATGAAGCAGTCCTGTACTAGCATCTCAAGTGTCATTATGGCTTCCTAGAATCCGGTGTCAATTGGTATGATATCTCTTTTGTTCTTGATGCACTCTAGACACTGACAATCCTCCCCGTCTTCGCCTCTCCCAGCCACTGGGGCTCACTACGCGCCGGCTCCAGCTTCGGCCCCCCTGAAATCCCCACGAACTTATTACACCACGCAATGACGGTATTCCACCAGACCAGACTATTCTCCCGACCGAGCACAAAGTGATTCTCATCCGGAAAATTCAGCAGGCGCGTCTCAATTCCCTTCAACCGGCACGCGGCATATGCCGCCCACCCAGCGGTACTGGGGCACCGGAAATCCTTGTCGGAGTGAATAATGAGCATTGGCGTCGACCAATTGGTCAGGTACTCGACGGGATTCCACTTCCGCCAGAGTTCCTTGGCGCTGGGTGGGTCTCGATCCGCCGAGGGCGCATCGGTGAAGAACGGCGACCCAAACGAGCGGGTGAGCTCCTGCTTCTGCGCCAGGTCGTCCCCCAGCAGCTCGGCGACGACGTCGAAGACCCCGTCGTGGCAGACGATTGCTTTCAGCTTCTGGGCCAGCGGCTGGCCCGCCACCCACAAAGCCATGTAGCCTCCGTAGCTGGCGCCAGCGGCCACGGCTCGGTCGGTGTCGCATTTTGTGGACAGGTTGCTTTCGACCCAGCTGAAGCAGCGCTCGATGTCGTGGTAGGGGTGGCCGCCCCATTGGCGCGAGACCGCGCGCGTGAATTCCCTCCCGAAGGAATCCGAGCCGGTGAAGTTGGGAATCGCGACGATGTAGCCCTGTTCTGCGACGAGGGCCGCATTCCACCGCCAGGTCCAGGCGTCTTTCATGGCAGAGCTGGGGCCGCCGTGCATGAGGATAAATAAGGGGTGCTTGGTGGCCGAGGTGGGGTCGTAGTCGGAGGGCTTCAGGATCCAGCATTGCACGGGGGTCTCGCCGTCGGGTCCACCAGGGTAGGTAATGGATTCGACTTGCTTGGAGGAGATGCCGAAGTAGGCACCGTAGTTGGACGAGGTGTAGATAATCTGGCTGTTCTCTGGTTGATCATCGACGCTGGTCAGGGGCGTGACGATCGAGAATAGCCCCTGGTCGATGAACGAAGAGGACGTGGCCAGTAGGCGGGGTTCGGTGTCGAGGTCGCTGAGACGATACAGCGCGGACACCGAGCCAGGGATGCTTAGCTCCCTGGGGTTGACGATTTGATGCTTCTCTCGGGAAGACAGGGGAATACTCACCTGGTAGACCCGAGCCCGAGCTTGGGAATTGGCAGTTAGATACAATTTGGTGCCGTCGTTCGCCCACAGAATCGCGTCCGGGAAGGCATCCCACTGACTCCCATCCGCAAGGTCGACCGTCCGCAGAAGAAAGATGATGCTCATAGTGTCGACGTCCACAAGCCCTATTGTCTTATACGACCATTCCTCGCTGTCCTGGTCCACAAGGAACGCAGCCAGGGGGCCCTTGGGCGCGAAGGTCGGGATCGAAACCACGTTCGCATGACCTGGAACACAAATCTTCCTCAGGGGCGGGACTTCAGTCTCCTCAAATGTCGACAATGGAAGAAAATATAGCGACCGCTGCGTTTGGATCCACTCCGTGTTTCCGGGCTCGCTTGTAGCGAAGATAATCCCATATGTCGAGATGCTCAGCTCCGCGATGCTGGACGAGTTGGCATAGAGGGGCACCGCCAGCCCGGTATCTCGCAGCGCATTTATTGGGCCAGCCGGAGACAGGTGCCATTTCTTGGTCTCGCCATCTAGTTTCAGCACCGTGAACCAAATGACCGACCGATACTGGTCAACATAGGTATCCCAGCTTCTGGGACGACCATGCGCCCATTCGCGAGCAGTCGTCGGCGGTTTCTCGGTCTTTGCTGTGTTATATAGGTTCTGATCGGCATCCGCCGGCGCGGTGAAGACAAAGGCAATGTCCCCGTTGTCCAAGACTTTAGTTCTGACGTCCTTCAACTTCGCGTTGATAGTACCGGCGAGATAGGGTCTGGATGGTGACGACACCACGGTCAGTACTCTGCTGTCTTGATGGCTCACTCGATAGGATAGATTCAAGCCGTACCGTATAGTGCTGCCAGCATCGCCAATCCACAGCTCGGTGTCCTTGTTCTTCTCGCCCTCCCGCTCCCACAGCAGCGACGAACCCCGCAGCCAACGGAACGAGCTTTCCTTGGGGTTGTTGCTGTATCGAGTCGACTTTCCTGTTCCCAGGTCAAGTATGTTGACGTCTGTAAAACTGGTATGTGTTGCGAGATCATACGTCGAAACGGTGTAGAGCGCGAATTCTCCGTCATCGTTCGGGACTGCTTCCGAGGTCCTTGGAGCGGTGACTAGGAGTCTGTTGGGCGGTTCCAAAAGAGTTAGCAATATTGCTCCACAATATACACTTGATCACGGCAAGGGCATACTCTGGGGTGAATTTCTTCGGGGCTGGCATCTTGGAGGCGGGGGGAGGTCGGTCGAGGTTGATGATACGCCAGTCAGCAATGTGTAACGATGTGTAGTGAGGGGAAGTTTTGTCTTAAATGATAGTTACCTGGCGGCCATCAACCGGAGCTCCGACGCTGATGGCCTGACCGTGCGGGGGCACCTGGCCTAACTCGAGTTAGCGAGCTATATGTAACACCGCGAGTGCGAAGAGCATGCATAATCAGCACTTGTGAACTATGCAATTAAGTTATGCAATGATGCCATTCTGTTGCCGTGTGGCCGCGCCGCGCTTTATCAAGCTGCGCGTGCTGCTTTAAGCCTGGAACGATAAGGCGTTATCGGTATTTCACGTGACACTCATGGATCTTTCCTGTCCCCTGTTATAAGTATAAAATTACGCACGAGTCTTTCACAGCCAGCAGAACAGAATGTCGCTCAAAGATGCCTTCAGCAAGTTTTTAAGACACCTTTGTGACAGCTTGAAGATGTGTATTCGTGTGTGTAGCTAGCGGATACGTGGTGAGGTCCAGTGTCACGTGACCAGAGATATCTCACAACCTTCAACCCTAAGAATCAGCCATCAGCCGGCCAGCTTCTGCATTTCAGCCCCGCTTATCCTCATCTTGATGTACCTGGCCACAGACCTATCAATATGGACTAAGCTTCCCAGCTCTACGGATTGTATTAACAGCGAAGCGGGCAGGACTTCCGCAAGAAACAGCATCCACACGTCTTCAATAGAAGGGTAATCTGAGAACCAATGCACTGCAACTGCTGCGAGCAGGCTCAGGATTGCCAGCCGGTGGCCCACAAGCCACGTTGAGGAAACCTTACTAATGTGATTTGATGGCGTCTAGGAGAAGCTTCAATAAAATGCTCAGAGACAGTTCGCGGGTCTGTCGGTAGGAGAAGCCCAGCAGCCCTTCATCCAGCTAGTGGATACGCTTAGGGCACAACATGAGACCAAGTAGTATCGAAGTTGTGAATGTGAGGCGGATCGGTGTGTTTGAGAGTAGTAATCGTGGCGGTTGATTCTGGGTATTACCACCCCTGTTTGAGAGAAGATTGATGATATATTCAGCCTCAGTACCAGACTGTACATGAATCAACCGGGACATGCTATTTCCTCTATCCCTGTCATCATCGTGCAACGGAGCCCATCAAGGGAAGGGTTCATTCTTGGGTGTATGCTCCGAATATAGCTACCATGGGGAACATAGTCAAGAAGGAATACCTTCAGACATTGACTGGGACAAATCCCAACGAAACGTTCATACACCACTTTTTCCCAAGTCCGTCTCACCGATATTCACCATAAAGTTGCCCCTGGTATTCCACTCTTGCCATGATCTCATGCTGGACGATCCAACATTCCGGGATCGACAGCCCTCGAGGAATGCTACAACCAAAATAAAACACAACTCAGACACCGCAAGCTATATAATAACAACACCACTCCACACACCCTCTCGCATGCAACAACCAGTCCATCACCAACATGCATTTACGCGCACTCACGACACTGACGCTGCCGCTCACACTCCTTACTCCTCTCACCACATCTCAAACCCTCAACATTGTAGCCCACCAAGATGACGACCTCCTCTTCCTCTCGCCAGACCTTCTGCATACCATCCAATCAACGACGCCTTCCACCCCAGCACGCACAATCTTCCTCACGGCCGGCGATGCAGGGGACACATCCTCCTACTGGATGTCGCGTCAAGCCGGTTCCCTGGCCGCCTACGCCCGCATGGCCAACGCCCCCAACACATGGACCGAGTCTACTCTTTCCGTCCCTGACACCATCCAGGCAATCCCGTTATACACCCTCACTGCAAACCCATCCATATCCCTCGCCTTCCTTCAACTACCCGACGGCAATCTACACGGCGAAGGTTTCCCCACCACGGGCAACGTAAGCCTCCAGCAGCTCTGGCAAGACAAGATCCCCGACATCTCTAGCCTAAACCCTGCTCAAGAAAGCACATATACAAGAGACACCCTGCTCTCGACACTCAGCGCGGCCATCGCCTCCTTCAATCCCGTCCGCGTGAACACCCTTGACTTCACTCGGGACTTCGATGCCACCAGCCCCCCGGAAGGTGGTTCATGGTCGGATCACAGCGACCATCTCGCGACTGCCCGGTTCGCGCAAGCAGCCGCGCAGGACTGCGCGGCCAAGGGGAAATGTAACACGGAGATGGTCGGGTACATGGGGTATCCGGTGCTGGACGCACTGCCGCAGAGTGGGAATGTGTGGAGCGCGGAGTTGGTGGAGAAGCAGTTGGTGTTCTATACGTATGCCATGAGCGATTGGCGGACTTGTCGGGACGATGGGGGGTGTAAAGGAGGTAACGAAGAGGGGTGGCTGGCGAGGCAGGTTGTTGTGTCGTCGAGTCCGGGGACAGTGGTTGCTAGTGCGCAGGTTGTGGCCAAAGAGAATGGGGCTGGAGGGCTTGGAGGCCGCTGGGGATTTGTGAGGGCTGGTGAGACAGTTGAGTTGACCGGGGAGGGGAGTACCGGGGCGTTGCAGTATCGTTGGAAGCAGGTGGAGGGGGTACAGGTGCAAGTAGAGGCTGCTGAGAGCCCGAAGGCCACTGTCACGGTGGCAGGGGTACAGGTTGGCGAGACGCTGGGGTTTGAACTGGTGGTGGTTGGTGATGGGGGCGTGGAAAGCACGCCGACACGCGTGAGCTTGTTTGTGGTGCCGGGGGAGGATGTTGCGCCACGGGCGAGCAATGTCACAGCTTCGTCGGAAAATGTTGCAGGTGGGCAGTCGGCTGCTAAGGCGGTTGATGGCTGGGTTGGGGGGTATCCTGGAGATGCGTCGATGGAGTGGGCCACGGTGGGTGGAAGGGAAGGCAGCTGGTGGAGACTGGAGTGGGACTCGCCGCAGACGATCTCCCAGGTTTACCTGTTTGATCGACCGAACACGTTAGACCAAGTCACGGGGGGGTTGGTAGAGTTCGATGATGGCAGCAGTACTGCGTTTGCTGCCCTCTCTGACTATGGTGAACCGAATCGGGTGAACTTCGAGCAGAGGTCAGTCCACGCTCTGACAGTCAGAGTCACTTCTGTGAGCTCGACAACGGGCAACGTGGGACTTGCAGAGGTCAAAGTGTTTTGACGTGCTGTGGGCACGATGAGCATTCTGTACTTAGGGTTAAAATGATAGACTCCCTCCCTCGAGTCGATGGTATTCCGGATTAGCATTTCTTGTCCGCGCTTCACGCTGGGGATATATGACGTCTAACAGTAACCCACGTCCCCATGGGTCTTCCTGAAAGGGACGGATTTAATAAGTATACAGAAAAAGAGAAGTATTGTTGGTAAAACTAGGCAATTGTTAGAGTCTTCACAGGAAGGACAGCGTTGTTTGCGATTTATTGTAAAGTATAGATTGAAAGGACAGATTCCGTTCATGCCTAAGCATTCTCAGGACTGTCACCTTAAAGATGGGAAATGGGGGATCCCCGGGGCCTAGAACTCCCACGGCAACGACTCCACCCTGATCTTCACCCCGAGGTCTCTGGCGACGCTGGGTGGAAACAGGGGCTCCTTATTATAAGGCACCCATCGCCGAGTCCATTGGTACAAGCTCTCGTCGTTAAACTTCAAGTCGAAGGTGAAGAGCGGCTCCTCCTCCGGATCGGTGTCATCGTAGGATTGAGCCATTCCAAAGACCAGGGTGTCCCCGTCCAGGCTCTCGTCGGGCCAGAGTTCTCGATAGCACTGAACCAGGGATCCCGCGCGGCAGAAACCGTAAAAGGGAGGGGCTTCCGGAAAGCGTTCTCGGAGCAGCCGAAATGCCTCGGCCAGGCGCGGCTCGAGGGTCGCCCAATCGAAGTCAGCCGGAGGTGGAGTCTCATCGTCCGTGTCGTCCGACACGGTGATTATCTGCTTATGCCCACAAGCATACGTATAGACGTAGAACTCCGGGGTAGGCAATTCCATTTCGGCGGTGTTAGACGACATCACGGCGTGGGTTATCTGCTTTAAAAAATCTCAAGACGAGTACTCACGGGTATATAGGGTATACTCCCAGGACTGGTTTGAGGTCTGAAAGGCTGATGATTCAACGGTAAGGGACGGGGGCTTCACCTGGTCTTATATAGATGCCGTGCCGCTGCCCACGCCAGTGGATAGGTCGTGTGTTGAAAGGATGTGAATCGCCTTCGTGCGGAATTTTTCAAGTTCGAGATAAAGGATGTCAGCATTCGAGACAGATGATAATGAAAGATGGAAGAAGGTTATTTTGCTCGCCTTTGCTTGTCTTTGTAGTCTCCTTTGGTGTTGATGACTTCGGTCTCGAGACAAGGAATTTCGATCTCTTTAGGACTGTTCTAGAGCACCACTCTTGTCATTATCTAATCAAGAAAGTAAGGCCTTCCTTGGTCTTGCATTAGCCCAATCCGGTTAGCTAAAGCCTTGCCTGGTATTGCTTTTTTAAGTTGTTTATCGAGCATGAGTATATCGAACAGAAAAGAAAGAATGGACAACCAGGTCAAACGCCTTATTTTAACTTCAAAATTTCTTGGTTACTTAGTCGCTTACCCATTTCCTCACCTGCTCACCCACACTCTTGACAACATCACCCAAATCACCCGCACTCACTCTTCTTCTTAGTGTTGCTTACCCATAAAGCAACGACTGAGAAAGGGCTCATATCCCATTCGGCCGCGTTCAATAGGTGGCTCAAGTACGGCTGAGCGGACGGGAAGCCCTGTTTTCCACACCCTGTGGTCGTATGTGCTCGCTATTATTAATAACTGTGTCATAGCTAGTCCACAAATCTATTGGATCACTTGTAGAGTTAACTTCTAAATGCGTGATTCCCCTTCGAATCTCCCGATTGCGGTAAAAGACAACTGCGGACAAGCCCTTACTCACTTTAGCCCTAACTGGCCTTATCACACCTGAATCGTGTCTCATAACACGCCAGCTACACCAAACAGCACGCCACCATTGAATTAGCGAATGGGAGGAGTGAAAAGTTATATTCAACTCCATCTCCTATCAATTTATCGCTTTTTAACGGCGTTTTCGGCCCTTGTAGTTGTGTGGCAGCTTGATTTTGTCCAAAACGCCCTCCAGAAAACCAATATAGCCTCAACTCGGGGCCTACCGCCGCTATGAAAATCTACACGCACAAGCAATAGCCATCAACAACGTCCTCAAGCGATTCAAAGAAGAGCAGGGAAAGATGGGCAACAGCCCGCCAAAGTTAGTCTTTCTTCCGCCGATCAAAAGCCTCATCAATTTCGCCGGCCCGGTCGCGGAGGCGCCCTCGGTGAACGCCCTCCGCGAGGTCCTCAAGGAGATCAAAAGCACCCTTCAAACGCAGGCGAATCAACAGCTGCAGATCGCCAATACCGGCAGCGCCCTCAGCACCAAGCCCGCGGCCTCGCCCGGAAGAATGCCGGGGGTATGCTCGTACGTTGACGCGGGGTTGGCTTGGCGTGGCGGCTAATATGTGGGTTGCAGTGATGCTTGGACTAACCCCTATCCTCCAGTAGAAATTCACTGGTTAATTACTAAAAAAGCCACAGAAATCAAATGGAATTGCAGTGGCCGTCAGACTCATGTGCGAAGAATTCTCGCACGCGCATATTTTTACCTGCTTCTCTACCAGTGAGGATTCTAAGCGAGGCAATTCCTTTCACGAAAATAGTACGGCGCGGTGATAAATCAGCCTAAAATATAGTCTGGCCCATTCTAGACACTTTGATTGAGCTTGCTATCATAGTGCCAATCTTCAAGACAGCCCAACTAGACCTCGTCTGACGTTGCAACTTGCTGTGATAGGGTGTGCAATGACTTACGCAGACGACCAGGCTGGTCCCATTAAATAATCGTTGAATTCTTGCTCTGACTTGAATGGACCCACAAGGTGATTGGGTACCCGAACACTTCTAATAGGCGTTCCCACTATGGAGCAGATTGTACTCTTGCCTCACGGATTTTTCCAGTTCCTTATAGACGTCAAATAGTGATCAAGCTGTCGGAACACCGCCTCTTTCTCTTCGTCGCTGAGTGTATCGAAAACTTAACCTAACTCCTTGCCAGGAACACGCGTTATTAGGATTGAAACCGGCGCATAAGGGCTATCAGCATGCCCTCCATAATAGATGACTTTTAGCACGGGTAAGCCTGCTTTCCTAGCAACTTGCATAGCTAAAACTTTCTCTAGACGAGTACCATCCGACCATTTTAGAATAAGCCCAAAAGGAAGCTGGGCGATTTGATTGTCGTAGGCGACTCCGACCCAGCTGCAATATAACCGAGAGAATCGTCTAAGGTATGTATGGATAAAACCCCAAAATTGACGGATACGGAGGTGAGTTAAGCGAGGAATGGGTGGTAGTTGGTTGCTGAGAAATGTCGCCCTATAATCCGGCCATGAGAAATTCGGGGAGAGCAGACGAGGAACCAACCACTGTAGCATTTCCACTATAAAATTATAGCAAAATTGTCAATAAGATGTCCAGAGAAATCTGTATCCAAGAGGACTGGAAATTAGTTCTCGACCTCAGACCATTGCTGGTATTTATGTCCAGACAGAGGTCAGCTTGTCACGTGATGAGAAGCAGTGTGTCATAGCTTAACTACATTGTAAGTTTGTAACATGATCCTTTAAATAATGTAGAAGATATCTGATGCTTTGTTTCTACCAGTTCCGACCGCTCTCAAGTATTTTTCTTCCGTCCAATACTTACTTCTAACTTTCTTACCTTGAACCTCATACAATCCGCCCATTAACATGTCCAACTTAGCGCAGAACACCGGACTGCACAATTTGCCCCTTGAGATCTTTGAGTTAACCCTTACACACCTGGACCTTAAATCGATCAAGGTTCTCCGCTTAGTCGACCGAAAGCTGGCAGAGAAGTGCATCGGGCCCCGATTCCTAAGGTGCATTCAACAGCCTGTCCTTGATGTCTCACCGCAGAGTCTTCGCTCTCTGCATGCGTTGGCGTGTAATCCTGTACTCAGCAAGAAGATCCACTCGCTGACATTTCTTGCCACGACTATGGAACCTTCTGAGTTAGACAAGAATATCAAATCTGGAAAGTATGTGGCGCAGAAACTTAATAAGCTCGGAAACGTTGTTTCCAGAACCAAGGTCAGATTTACGCCAGAGGAACTGGAAAAAGCCAAATCTGATCTGTGCTGGCTCAATGAACAGCAAGAAGCTAGAGACCAGGAGTCACCCAGCGAGATGATGGAGGTCCTGCAACTTACGCTCAATCTGTTTGGAACCTTGGATGTTATCCGCTTTGATGGCGGGGTCCTCCGCGGTCGGACGGAGAGAAAGGCTCCCAATTCTAGAGACTGGCAGCCACTCTGGGCGCGAGCCGCGCAAATCTTCTTGTTGGTTTCGAAGGCAATGGTGCAGAGTAGGATCTCGGTGAAGAGCCTCGATATATTTCGTGATACAGATAAATGCTGTATTCCGATTGACAAGATTACCGATATTGCATTGAATCTTGGCTCAGCGCAGCTGGGGATGCTCGGCAAGGATCTGATATCGCTTAAGCTCAGTATTTCTATGGCTATGGAGGATTCTCTTCAAGACGAGGAGGAAGATGAGGAAGAGGAGGAAGAGGAGGAAGAGGAGGAAGAGGAGGAAGAGGAGGAAGAGGAAGAAAAGGAAGAAGAAGAAGAGGATACCCGGCCTGTGCTAGAGGATGGAACATCCGGAATAGCATCACTCTTTCTCAAATCTGCACCAGCTCTTCGAGAGCTGAACTTGGCATTCCGGCGCACTGCATATGGACGGAAATTATTTCACTACTACGATAGGATCGTCGACAGTATCGCTCATAAAACCCAATTGCCATTGCTGGAAAGATGTGCGTTATCCGGGTTCGCGGTCAAAGGACAGTCCCTGCTGCTTTTTCTCAAAAAGCATTCCAACCTCCGCTCGTTGACACTGCATGAGTGTCACCTAACCTCTGGGTCATGGACCCCGGTCTTTGCTTATCTGGAGTGTTCGATGCCAAGACTGGAGAATCTCAGCCTTAAGAACCTGTTTGGGAGACATATGCAGAACCTGAAGTATGCACAATAAAGGGATCATGCTTTACCCGATCCGACTCTTGGGCAAGAAACAGAGGATGCCGAGCAGGAGGGCAAGGGGCTGGTGGTCCTGCTGCCAATCTGGGATACAAATCGGCCACCGCGTTGCACACGCTACTCGCATTCGAACGGTTTAGCTGTGCACACCAGGGACTTTACCCGCGAGGACTTGGCCAAAGGACTGGTGTTTCAGCCTCTTAGAAAAGGGCCTGGACGCGCTCTTGGTTCCCCTGAGCTTATGCGCTGGAATAAATCTAGGACTTAACTTTACGCGCGTCCCACAGGTTAATGGCATGGTTTATTATTTGAGACTCTCAGTCAGAACAAGTGGTTTACAGCCATTCAGCCAAGCGATTTACCTCTGTACAGTGCTGAGATAATTCTATAAAGTACTTACAAAGAACAAAATCGTAATTGCAGTATCCATGTACTCTATATACTTAATTCACTGAGGAATATGTCATGCATATAGCTTGCAATCAAATCAAGCCATCGGAGTTCTGCCCATACAATTTGGCCCTCAGAACCGAAAAGTAAGCGAGCAAGGCAGCCTGGAGGCAGACATCGCGGCTGAAGTAAGTAGTCGCGCAAGAAGAAATTGAGTTTCATGGCTTCTATTGGTCTGACAAGCCCGATTCAGCGAAAAGTATGTATAACCACCAGCGCTCACGCGCTTCTCAATCCACGACGACACTAAATATTCAAGAGACCTGTTCCGAGGGTCACACTGCGCAGTCTCAGTACATCCCGTCATTTACCATTTATCAGAATGATACGGTGTCCTCTGGCCTTCAACCCACAACATAGCCCATGTTTGTGTTTGCCCTCCCCTAATCGGGTGATACGGGTCGTACTTGAAGAGGTTCCTTCCTCTGGTAGTAGCCTCATTATTGAGTATATCATCATCTCCCACTGTGGAATACAGGGTTTTCTGCCAGCGTGTTTCATCTTGTAGGGTGGGAACCAGCTCACTGACCGTGGCGCGGATCTGATCCCATTGCTCTCTGTAGTCGGGTAGGGTTGGATCCACCATCTACTGCCTCCAGACCTTTTTAGGACGGATGAGGTAGGCTTTGATGTAGTCGTCCTCGATTTTGTCGGCCTCGAGAGGAGCGTGGAAGTCACCTCCGTTCCTTAGCATGTCGACCACGGTGAGCTGAAATAATTCCTCGTCCGTGTATAGATCCGTTGATTCTTCATCGTCTGGAACCAGCCATTCTTGGTCCGGGTGGAAGGAGACGGCCAGCCAGAGCAGACTATCACGCAAGCTCCCGCGCAGGACAAGGCGACGGGACTGCCCGCCACGATCACTACACTTGCCAGTTCCACCAACGGCGCCACCGTGGGAGATGTGGTCATCAAGCTGGACTCGACGGTGGCGGCGCACCTCCAGGCGCTGCTTTCAGCCTCGGACAACAACAATTGCGATGTGAGCGCCGATTTCTTTCCTTCATCCTCTCTCCGGACTCGCTCTCTTGATTTGGCCAACATCGTCTGTGGCGCGCAAAACATTATCTCCGACAGCATTCACCACGGGGGTTATCCGAATTGGTTGCTCATGAACCAGGGACGTTTTCCGTTCACCGCCGCGGACTTGACCGCAGGTGCGAATGCGGTGGTGCAGTGGAACCTCGCTCTGGGCCACGAGTTGAATCAGCGGATCAGCCCATCTCATCTCCATGGCTTGGCTATCGGAGCCTTCGTCTCCGCATTGTCTTTCTATCTGAACGAGGGTATCACGACCGACAATGTGATCCCATCCGCATATCTTCAAGGGGGTCCCACTGCCACGGTGTGCCAAGCGCAGACGGCGACTCAATGCGGCGTGGAATGTGGAGTCCAGCCCTGGGCTCCTCAATTCACTTGTTTGACTAGCTGCTCGACCGTCACGAGCTGTGACGCGCAGAATGCACTCACCACCACCATGACCACCATCATGACCGCCTTCGGTCCCCAGGCGACAGGACCTTCATCCGCGAACCAAGGGCAGCAGATCGCCGTCGCATCGTACGTCAGTCCGCTGGGAGACCCGACGGCCTGGGATCGGCTGATCAAGTATGATGTGAAGAAGATGCCAATCTTAGTTGCCAACGTCGTGAACGGACCGGACTCTGCCGTTGATACGAGCTGGCAGGATGTAATTCAGCGAGCTTCCGATGCCGGTAAAACAGTTCTCGGCTATGTGCGCACCGGATACCTGGGTGTAAGCGCTCAGAAATTCCAAACACGACTGGGCTCCGGTGATCTGGCAGATTGGGCCGCTCAGATTGAGGAAGATGTTGCCATGTGGTACAAACTCTACGGCGACAGCATCGGTGGCATCTTCTTCGATGAAGGCTGGCCAGAATGTGGCGACAACAATAAATACGTGGACTTTTACAAGTACATCAACGCCTATACGAAGCGTGCTCACCCCGACGCGTACACCGTCCTGAACCCCGGGTCGCCCATGGCGTCTTGCTTCGAGGATACCATGGACACACTGCTTACTTTCGAGCTGAGCTACGACTCCTACATCAACTGTTACACTCCTAACACTTGGACCCCCAAAGACCCACGAAAGCTTTGGCATATAGTGTACAACGTGTCCGAGTCCTCGATTAGCGAGGTTGTCAAGTTAGCTAATAAGCGCGGGGCGGGCTTCTTGCAGCTCACTAATGACCTAATGCCCAATCCATACGACACTCTGCCCGAGGACTCGTACATTCAAAGCATGATGGACGCAATGGACGGCGGCTCGCTGCTGAAAGCAGATGCAGCCGCCTGGAAGGCAGATGGCGAGGCAGGTACTGTCACTGAGCTGACGGTGGTGACCTCGGACTATAGTTCGGCGAAACTATCCTGGAATGCCGCCACAAATGCTCAGGGCTATAATGTGTATGCCGGTGGTACTCTTGTTGCCAGCGTCCCCAGCTCAATGACTGAGGTGACGATTGGCAGCCTCGCCTCCGGAACCAGCTACACGATCTATATCAGCGCCGTAGGAGAAGGCGGCAAACTGGGCTCGTCTTCGAACCAGGTGACAGTGGCCACCGAATCATTGCCTGGTGGGAAGACAGTGACCAACTACAAATCTTCTCCCCGGGAGAGCTCGACCGTCATCGAGGCTGATGTGCTGGTTCCTTACTCCTTGGTCCGCCTCTACCTCTGGGACTCAATCGAATGCGACTTCGACAATGATCCAGGGTGGAGAGTTGATTTTGAAGTCGACGACTATGTCTGCGCTCACTATATGGTCGATGGCACGACCCTTTACCGCTACAACGGGGTCCTTCCGAAGGGCTCCACCGCGCCTCCGTGGTCATGGGAAATAATTGACACCGTCACCCGCGATATCAACGGCTACACTTACACATGGACCTTGCCTCTGGGCACGTCGACTGTCGACACGAGCAAATTCGTGGTTCAGGCGCAGGGCTACAATCCTCTGACCAACATCTTCGAGCCAGACCCGTCCGACTATGATTGCAAGGGCTCGTCTATGTGCACCACCCCGGATCTGCTGGAGTGGTGCGATCACGCCGTGGATAACTTGTACCGAGACGACAATTTGAATTATCATTCGGCTGAGATGATTGAGTAAGTTCTTCCTGTCTGCCACTTTGCGTTTGTTCTTCTCGTTTGTTCATCTCGGTGGCCTTGAATCGCGTGGGATTTTGTCGTCCATCACGACCAAATCCCCACAAATACTGACTGCTCATCTCCCAATCTATAGTGGTACTTATTGGAACTCCCAAAGTGGAAACTGTTGGGGCGATCAGACTCGGAGTTGCGGCGTCTTCATCCAGGGTCAGAACTGCAGTATCAGTGGGAACGACATGTGGAACGACTACCAGAATATCCGCAACATCGGCGGCTGTAAGAAGTGCGGCTCGTACCACCGGGATGACGGGTGTCTGGTGACTATCAATTATGTCTATCAATGCGATAACCATTGAGGTTGACAATGACCCACATCTCAGAGAGGAAAAATACGTTGTGTTCACACCGGTGCTCTACGGGTTTGATTTTGCTTCAGTCCATTTCGCCTTATCCAAGAGATTGGGTCAGATGTCAAGAATTATTTGTACATAGAATTCGTGTTATACTAGTGACTTTCACCGAAGCCTGACTTCAAACAAAGTAGACTCGACTTGATTGAAACAAGGATTAGACAGGATGTTATTTGGGAATACTAGCAACGGTTCGAAATTGTCTTACCGCTCCTTACAGTGACATTCAATGCTCCGAATAGCTTAAAGAGTAAGATCATTGAAGCTATCATCATGGGGCTTTGAAGCCATGAACACTGATGACCGGTAAGATGAATCGCGTTTCTTTAGAGGTGTCATACGCTTGGCTACTTGACTGATTGATGGTCAGAGATGATATGTAAATAGGTATTGTGGAGGTCAAATAATCTGTGTTGTATGATAGCCTGCCCAAACACTGCTCAGAGAGGTGAATTTGACAAACTTCAATATGGTTCTTCTGCATACCCACGAGCTCCTTAGTTCAACTTCAAGAAGGCTGCATGATGAGAAGCGTGATGGTCGCTGGATGCAGGATGTCTGGAAGAAGTTTTGCCATTCAGAGGTCTCAGACGCCGAAGTAAATTGTTTATCCTCCACTTCATAGTAAGTTGGGGCTTCCTTAGGATTGTTGACTACTACATTCAGTAGCATGTCTCGTCCCGCCCTGACCCAGTGCCCCCAGCTGACCCCTTGTTGAAGGGTCTCCGAACATAAAGGTAGTTCTCAATGTCAGATGAATCACACATCCAAGCCTTAACAAAGACGCTACTGTGGAGCCCTGCTATAATAATTCCCTCTTGCAATAAACATGCTGGGCTTGACAGATTGATTCGTTCAAATCGAGATCTAGGCACTGCAAATTTCCAAACCAGTGCCAAGACCGACCCATGCCAGGCCTCTGACACTTTCTAGTGTACTTCGGCGTAATGTCCGTCCATCTAGACATGTACGGCGTAGCCTGTTTACATCCATGATACATAGTTACGAGGATTACCACTAAATAATAAATGTTGGTTTCCCGCTTTTGCCACCGCCTGCCTCTCCTCTACACGCACACATTCTCCCATTCTACGCACCATGTCACCTGATACCGCCGAGGACGCTTTAAACATTAAATTCGAGCGAGCATGTACCAACGGTGACCTGCAAGAAGTCCAGAGGGCCCTTGCCAGCCAGCAACTCTCCGCCGAGAGACTTGACACAGGGCTTCGACTCGCTACCGGTGCAGCTCATCCACACATCGTGGCCGCACTTTTCAATGCTGGCGTGCCCATGACCCCTGGCGCGGTAGGTTCCCTCTGCGGGAGGGAAGGGGGCCAGCAGGATCCGCGTGTTATTCGACTCTTCTTCGATCGCGGCTTGAAACCGAAGAAATGCACCACATCCAGGGGCGAGCCTCTGCTACGGTATGTCCGTTATCACATGGGGGCTAGTTGCAATTGCCCGACTGATGTTTGCGTGAATATAGCTTTTTTTATTCCGACTGTGCTCGCGAATTACTCGAGCGAGGCGTGGACCCCAACCGCTGCGGCCCGAGGAAAGTGAGCCCCCTCGTTAGCGCTCTCGGTAAAGTTCACGAGGACGGCGGAGCCGTGTTTGATCTGCTTGTGGAGTACGGGGCGAAGCTGGACGCCGGGCTCTTCTTTAATGCTCTTGTTTGGGGCACGAATTCGGCGATCAAGACTCGATTCCTTCTTTCCAAGGGTCTCGATCCGAATGCCACGACCTCCGCAGAATGGGGCACGCCTTTACATGCCGCGGTCCTGTTCGAGCATGAGGAGCCTATCGAGGCTCTACTGGCTGCTGGCGCAGATCCGATGGCTCGATCGGAGTGCGCGAAATTTGGTGATCGAAGCCCTACGGAGCTTGCCGAATCGCGGTTACGGAGATGTTCTGAGAGTTCTGGCATGAAAGATACATGTCAGCGGATACTCAAGCTCTTTACCGATGCACAAGTCGGCCATACTACCTCAGCGACGAAACGGAAGATCAAAAAGCAACACACTACCGTCACGAAAAAGTCGCAGATTTCTGAAGATGCCGAAGCGGGTTTATTGGCTTATAGAGCACGGGTGGTGAGAGCACCGGCTAGGAAAACCAAAAATGCCCCGAAGAAAGAGCAGAAAGACACCGCGAATGTTGGTAGTGTTAGCAGCCGAACACGGAGTCGAACTAAGTCAACTTCCTGATTTAAACATGAACTTCTTCAGTCTTGTTGGCAATGAAAGACACTACCGCTCTGTATAATTTGAACTTCTTGTCTCAGAGGTAGATAGGACTGATCAAGGCCTCCACAGGACTGGACCTCACTTGAAGTCCCTGGAGGGGAAAAGAAAATGGTCGACGTAGACTACCTCGGCTTCTTAGATTAATAGAACTTGAGTTAAATTGATCTGAATCATTTCCCCAGAGAGCGACGGATGGGACGCGGATCTAACCCATCGAAGAACCCAGTCGGCCGAATAGCCGGATATACCAAGAGCATTAGGGTTCAGGTACAAGAGGATGCCAGCATTGATCCTGGTCTTCAGCAGCATGGCTACTGCGCGAATTGGCAGTGAATTTCTGGTGTCATGGGATGGTGAGTAGTTTGTCGGCGCGTAGGATCCTATACCACTGGGTCACGTGACGCGGGAACGGGCCCAATAGCCTCATCTGCCTCACCACCACCCTTTTCCCATGTACGTAACATAACAAGCGATTTATAATTATTGAATGGCTTCATTGTCCCACCGTTTTAGGCAATAAATGCCCTCTTCCCCGATAGAATTGAATGGCCTGAGAGACGGAATCACCGAGGGCAGCACAAATGGTTAATAGTGGACAGCCATGGCCTTATGCATAAATCTTATGCAAATCTCTAATCCATTACCGACAGACAGCTTTTATTCGTCAAGGAGAACGGAAATTTTACTTCACCCGAGTCGCTTCTCGAGGCAAAGCAAGAAGAGCTCTCTGGTAGGCGATCGCGTTATCTCTTGGCTGGTGGTATGTCTGCTTTCCTTCTCCCTCGCTATGTTACAAGAGACCCGTGCTAAATGACAGATACAATCCGCCACAGGACCTTCGGCGACATCCTCTTCCTCGAATACCAACCCGTCAGCATCTCGACAGGATCTCTACTCTGAGCTAGAGCGGGTTCAGGCGCCACATGCCCGTCCGGGTTTTCTATCGAATGGTCAGCGCTCTCGCCGCCATGCATACTTTCGGAAGAGCATCCGCCCGTCTCGGGTCATGAACCCGCTCACCACCAGTAACAGCACACATAAAATGCGCCAAACCAGACCACAAACGCTAAATAGACCATCTCGCCATCCTTCCACCATCAGATTCCCCAACCATGACCACCTGCCCGCCACCCTCCCGCTTCTCCTCGTCCCCCTACATCCCCCCGGACCGAATCTTCGAATTAACCGCCCAATACCTGGACGACCCCAGCCCTCAGAAAGTCAACCTCGGCCAAGGCACATACCGCGACAGCCACGGCCAACCGTGGGTGCTCCCCGCCGTGGCTGCCGCACGCACCCGCCTGACGGCCACCGGCCTGAACCATGAGTACCTCCCGATCCTGGGTCATCCGGTCTTCCGCACGCTGGCCCCACAGCTCGCCCTCGGACCAGCCCTGCACGCCAGTCTCGCTTCCCAGATAGCCGCCTGTCAGTCGCTCTCGGGAACGGGGGCATTGCATCTGGCTGGGCTGCTTCTTCGACACCTCCACGACATCCAGCTCCGGCAGGGGCTAGCCACCCCTGCTCTGCCGAAAGTCTACATCCCAAGCCCCACCTGGTCGAACCACCACCAAATATTTACCTCCCTAGGGTTTGAAGTCGTCTCGCTGCCCTATTACGCCGCGACCACCCGCTCCCTGGCGCTGGAACCCTATCTCAACGCCTTGGCCGCGGCGGAGCGCAACAGCGTGGTGATCCTGCATGCGTGCGCGCACAACCCCTCGGGGTGTGATCCGACGCCCGCGGAATGGCGGCAGGTCGCGCAGATCGCTAAAGAACGGAACCTCTTCCCCCTCTTCGATGCTGCATACCTGGGATTCAACTCGGGGAATCTCGACGAGGACGCCGCGGCGATTCGGTTGTTTGCGGGCGAGGAGTTCGGGCTCGAGGTCGGGGTGTGTATGTCCTTTGCGAAGAATATGGGGCTCTATGGTATGATTTCCCTTCATTTTCGCGGGCTGTATGGTGGGGTGGAGTTACGGAGTTGAAAGCCGGATTGGGACTACGACTCGCGGAGGGAAACGGCGGGTTACGGCATGCTAATCGAACGATAGGCGAGCGGACGGGGTGCTTTTTCCTCACCGCACATACCAAAACAGCAGCCAGGAATACGGAGTCGGTTTTGGAAGTGTTGCAGCGACGGGAAGTATCGAATCCACCCGCTTATGGGGCGAAGATTGCGGCCATGATTCTGGGGAATGAGGAGCTGGGGGAGATGTGGAAGGAGGACTTGCAGACCATGAGTGGGCGGATTCGGGAGATGAGGGGCCAGCTGGTCGAGGGGCTGGTCAAATATGGTGAGTCTGACTTATACCAGGCTGCTGAATTCGGATGATGGCGACATGATGCAGGGTTGATGACGGTTGTGCTGACATTTACAGGGGCCCCCGGCGACTGGGCGCATTTGGTGCGCCAGACCGGAATGTTTGGATTTCTCGGATTAGAGGAGGGCGTCGTAAAGGAGTTGCGGGGTGGGTGATATCTACTCAAGCCAGTTCTCATTGTTTAAACGCTGACAAAATCAGAGGAGGATCATATTTACATGGCGGATAATTCGCGCGTGTCGATTGCTGGGTTAAATCCAGGGAATGTCGAGTATGTAGCCAGAGCAATCGCTGAGCGCCTGCGGAAGCGAAATGCTTGATTTGAGGTGGTCATAGATGAATACCGAGAGACCACGGGTAACGTTGGGGTAACGTTGGCTTGATGCATGGCTCTTTATGCATTGCATGCCAGTCCTATTTAGACGAGCTTGTTCTGCCTTCGGCCGTTCCACCAAATCAACGTTCGGCAGCCAGCATTGGACTTGTTCATGGTAAATATGGTCATCGATTCAATCTCCAAGTGTCAACCGAGTGGCATAGCCGCCAACTCGTCCCTGTGGTTGTGTGTAACAGCCGGTCGATATATGAACCTCGGATGTAAAGCATGACTCCCCTCGGCTGAGTGGCCAAGGCAGTCGTATCCTCTCAATCGCTGGTTGCGTGCGATAGAACGGGGCCTCAGACGCGCTTTTGTCATCAGTCCTGGTGCATAACTTATCATGAAGGCGGAGTCTAGAATGACAACGTACCACTTCGGCTAACTGGGACGAGGGATCTATAATCCCATGTACAATAAAAAGGTCCCATCTCTCTCCCATAACGACACAGCCAATTGTCACTGGAGGTACCTTTGAGGTTATTGCTCATTCGTGCAGATGTCCCGCTTCGACTGGCGGAGCTCCAGGACACCAAGCCCGCCATTCATACCCCTACTTGTATCTCGGCTTCGACTCGACTTCCCTCGGGTGATTTGACCTCTATGCCTAGCCCGAGTAGCCTCTTTCCGGGGTGTGGGTGATTGATGTGACTGAGAGCTTTGTCAGGAATGTTGATCCCTGAACGCGTATGCTCGTCAATGCAAAGCTCTCTCGGGAATCTGACAACGAGGTTGATTATTGCGATTTAATACATCCTTCACAGTGGCCAGATTCCAGAGGCAAGTTGTCAATTGGCAGAATCAAAAGAGGTCGGACAACGTCCGTGATCCAAGACCCTTCGCTTCGTTCCTCCATGGTCAACTTCATTGACAGGGCGGCAATTCTCTTCATCTTCTCCTTGTGAGGCTCCCGGCTTGTTGAGCCTTTCGTTCTCAGAGAGTGTCGAAGGCTCCCCGCATCGTGGCAGGTTCCCCACTCGGTCTTCTTCCGCTAAGCCAGTCGGAGGAGCAGAGTGCAGCTCTGAGGCGACGCGCTCGATCCATTCCGCGATTGATTCTCGGTCATCTCTGTTCATTCGCATGCATGAGTAGAACGCATGGAAGTTTACGTAGTTGTTCTTGTTGTTTTACCTCGGATAGCCCTTGACCCCAAACGATCCACGGCCCCAGATTACATATTGTTCCTTTACCCTGACCTCCATCGTCGTAGAGCTTCGGCTCTGATCCAAACTTGCTCATGAATAATATCCCATTCAATGTTTACCTAGAAACTCCCTTCACAACTCCTCCATCAAGGGACCACAGGAGGAACCCAGCATTCGCTGATTGCAAAATTGTTACCCACCAATGAGTTCCGTTGATTTCTGCATTACCTGTTGCCGCCAATTGCCTCCCTGCAGGTCTGACAGTTCTCATCACATCACAATCCCCTAGAACCGAGTCTAATTCAGCATGTTCCGCACAATCTCAGCCCTACTCCGAAACTCGATGATTAGCAGCAGCATTATTCAGCTCACACCAGAGATACTCACACCAAAAACGTCCCAGCAGACGCTGGCATCGCCCTCAACAACGCCGGCCCGATCCCATAAAACAACCCCCGCAATCCACTCACAGCCCACGTATCCCGCACCACATGTTCCACCCCACGATATTTCCTCTCAGACCCCAACCCATCACTCTGCATCCTGCTCTTAATCACATCGATCGGATAGCTCAACAACCAGAGCGCCTCCCCGGCCAAACCCCCATACACCGCAATCTGCCAGCCCGGTAACTCCTCGCGCCGTTTGCGCTGCCGATGCATCGCCCACCGAACCAGCCCCTCATACGTCGCAAACCACACTCCGTATCCATGCATCTCACGAACAATCGTCATCACTTGCCCCCGATACAACCCTGCCAGCCCGCCTGCCCTTATCAATTTTCGTGCACAGTCAAACGGCCCCATGTAGATTCTTCCCGTGCCGTGCGGTTGCGTCTGAAGTCTGATGCGGATATGCTCCACTGGGCCCGAGACGATACTAGTCACCAGCCCTGCACCAGCACCAGCAATGTAAAACTGAGGAAGGGAGAGGGTCCGATCATGTGAGGGGCGGGTCTGGCGGTTGCATGATTCGATTGCTTGGCGGAAGGTATGCAAAGCTCCGAACGAAATGCTGACCTATAACCCTTGTGAGGTTTTGAGACAGAGCTGGTAGACCAAAAAAGATACGTACGCAAGCGCTAACCCCCAGCAAGGGCATAAGCGTGCCCTGATTTGCGGCACTGTCTCAGCATGAAACTTCCATCCCCCCTTGAGCAGCAACGAACCTTGTAGAATGCGAGGGCACCTTCTTTGGCCCAGATATGGCGAGTAGCAGACCACGCATCCCCGCCTTCTTGAGTCTGCAGACGAACCTTGATAAGGTCTGGGCTGTGAGAACGCCTATCTTATTCAGGGTAGCGGTGGCTTACCGAATGGTTGTCCTGGACGCGTCAGCATTGCTTCAAAGCATTGGGCAAAGAGTCTTACCGATGAGGACCTGTGCAACTCCGCCAGCTGCACCAGCAGTCACGTTCTTGGCGGTCTGCCTCCATTCTTGGGATCTGGGCACCTCTAATGTGGGAATTTGGTCACTCATCTTGGATTGGGTCCTACTCGCGTGCTATATGAAGACAATGGGTGAAAGATCTCAAGAAATAGACACGCCTACGAGCACATCCATCCTAGTCGTGGTCAGGAGAGGGTTCATGCTTGATAGACTAGATTTCCCCACGTTCGGGTATTGTTCCGAGAGACGGTCATCGCCATGTTTCGGGATCCGAATCCGACCCTTGATACGGGTTGCGAGTGGCTTGCCTGTATCGCTGACTATCGCTTTATGATCTTTAGGAAAGACCGAAACTCATCAGTCTCTTCGCGGTCGCGAGCTGTTAAGTTAAGGGCCATGCTCCTGTTAACACTGTCCTTGAAAACCGAACGTAATCCCTCGTCATACCACAAGCTACAGCAAAACAGCCGTAAACTGAGAAAGACAATCACTTTTAAAGCTCGAAGTTCTCCATTCTACTTGAAACAAGACAAATCAGCTCGTCGCGACGATTATATATAATTTCGTGATGGGGTTGTGAGGAGTATGCGGAAGGAAGAGGAGGCCAGAAATACTACATCGGGAGGATTAACGGGGCCCTGTCGAGTATCACTGGGGGCTGCACCATCACGCGTCATACGAAGCTCTTGCCAATTTCACTCTGCTCGTGATGAATTGAGCCATTTGGGAGGTGGACGTCCCCTTCAACCTATTGGAAGCCACGTTCGAAAGTATGGAGCTCATGGGCGAGAGAAACCCTTTACTGTCGGTGATACGGCCCAGGCTTATCTGATCCGATGGCCGATATTAGACTGATCATCACGAGACTTGGTCACATGGACACTGGCTGATCGATCAGCCCTAAGATTAAGAGAACTTCCACGGCGGTCTAGAATCTTTGGCTGCAGACAGACAGACTCTGGCGAGTATGGTCTAGAAGTTTACTGCATTTTAAGCAGGCTTGCTTCAAATTAGCTCATGAAACGGCCTTGAAACAGAACCACGCTGGGATTAAGGCTCTGTGTCTAATTATAGTACATCACTCTTCTGTTTGGAGACTGAAGATTACCTTCGAGGTCGAGTCAGATTCTCCCGGACTCCCCATCTCGACAGGCTCGATCCCGAGGTTATCAATATGAAAGTCAGCTATACAGACCCCGTCATGGGCTTTCAAGTACGGCAAAAATAATATGTTGGGAAACTATTCCGTATACTTGACTCATTGGTCTCACTTCGTGGTAGCCCTTGGCGTACCGCTTGAATGATGAGTGTCTACTTTCTATGATACTTGATACAGTTGCTGGCTGTGCTTAATCTCTCAGTCATGAGACTTGAGTTAACTTAACTTAGATATGTCCCCAGGGCCTCACAATAGAGCTCTTCACTTGAGAGTCGTGCTTTCAGCATACAATCTGTGACTCAGAGTCCTCCTTGAATGTGGGGGGTGTACCAGGGAGCGACAGTTTGAGTTTGTCATGTAAACAATCAACTTCGACACACTGACCCTCGGGTTTCCCCAGATCAAGCCGAAAGAGTCATCCTAAGATCTAAACTAAAGGATGATCGGAGTGGCATCGGGGCTGGACCCCCGGAGTGACTCGACTCACTAATGTGACGGACCCCGAAGCGGGAGCCGAGACTAACCACATCCAGCCAAGACCGCTTGCGGCAACCCACGGTTGATCCACCGAGAAACCAATCAGCAGCCGTATAATCCGACATCGGCCGGGGAGGGAGAGCCCAACTCCGAATCACGTGAATCGCCGCTGGCCGATCTCGTCCCCAGCAACGAGTTTATAAACTGGACGAGAGCTCCAGCTGTCCTTACTCTTCTTCTTCTTCTCCATCTCATCAATCCTTGTCCACTCTCCTCTCTGTCCTTCATCCTCCATTCTCCCTTCACCTCTTTCTCCTTCCTTTCATCCTCTCTCTCATCCATCCCCCCCCCAACACACACTCACAATGGCCTCCCGTGGACTTCCCCGTGCCCTCCGCCTGGCCCGCGTTGGTGCCCCTCGCTCCGTGCTCTCCGCCGCCCTCCCCCGGCCCGCTCTGAAGGCTGCCACCGCCGCCGTCCCCCGCGTGACCGCCACCCCCATCACCCCCGCCCGCGGCGTCAAGACCATGACCTTCGCCGACAGCCAAGAGACCGTCTACGAGCGTGAGGACTGGCCCCGCGAGAAGCTCCAGGAGTACTTCAAGAACGACACCCTTGCCCTCATCGGCTACGGCTCCCAGGGTCACGGTCAGGGTCTGAACCTGCGCGACCAGGGCCTCAACGTCATCGTCGGTGTCCGCAAGGACGGTGCCTCGTGGAAGGAGGCCATCCAGGACGGCTGGGTTCCCGGCAAGAACCTGTTCGACGTCGAGACCGCCGTCAAGAAGGGTACCATCGTCATGAACCTGCTCTCCGACGCCGCCCAGTCCGAGACCTGGCCCCAGCTGAAGCCCCTGATCACCAAGGGCAAGACCCTCTACTTCTCCCACGGTTTCTCCCCCGTCTTCAAGGAGAAGACCAAGGTCGAGGTCCCCGAGGACGTCGACGTCATCCTCGTCGCCCCCAAGGGCTCTGGCCGCACCGTCCGCTCCCTCTTCCGTGAGGGCCGCGGCATCAACTCCTCCGTCGCCGTTTTCCAGGACGTCACCGGCAAGGCCAAGGAAAAGGCCATCGCCCTGGGTGTCGCCGTTGGTTCCGGATACCTGTACGAGACCACCTTCGAGAAGGAGGTCTACTCCGACCTGTACGGTGAGCGTGGCTGCCTGATGGGCGGTATCCACGGTATGTTCCTCGCCCAGTACGAGGTCCTCCGTGAGCGTGGC